AAAAAGTAATAGTAATATAAATGATAATAATAATAATAATAATAATAATAATAATAATAATCTATATATATAATATTATTATAAAAATTATAATTACATTAATATAAATTAAATATTATATTTATTATTTTATATTTTTTTTATTTTTATTTTATTTTTTTATTAAAGTTTATATCATTTAAATACTAAAGTTTTTTAAATTTATTGTTAATTTTAACAATTTAAATTTTAATTCTTTTTTTTCAACACTTTATTAGTTTTTTTTAATTAATAGTCTTTTTATTTATTTATTTTAGTCATAATATTATTATTTTGTTATTATTTTTTTAATATTTCACAATAATCCTATTTATTTTTATGAATTTTTAAAAATATTATTTATTTTAATATTAAAAAAATTAAATTTATCCCATAAAAAATACGTTCTACTAAAATACTAAAACTTAAATTTTTATGCTAATTTTTTTGTAAAAGACCGTTATAGTGAATTCCTATATATTCATATATATTGCTTATAAGAAATATTACTAAAGTATTTTTTTTGGATAATATAAATGTTAAATTTTTGGATTTTTAATTTATAATTTATGTAAATTATTTTCATGACATTCTTAAGATTTTATTAAGTTAATAAATTTCAGTAAAAAAACATATTGTTTCGATAAGTATATATATTTTTTTTTATTTAAAAGTAGATTTTTGTAATCTTTTTTTATATATATATAAAATAAATACACATTTTTTTTTTTTAATTATTCATACATATCATATATATATATTAAATTAAATTTTTTTTTATTATAATTCATATTTAAAAAATTGTATAATACATTTAAAAAAAATTATTTTATGAATAAATAACTAAAGTAAAATATGAAGAAAAAAATAAAAAATTTAATAATTAATAATTATTCATTAGATTTTAAAATAAAAGATGATTATTATTAAAATATTATATACTTTCTATAAATTTATTGATATATTAAAAAAGAATAATTAATAAAGTATTAATATTTAAAAATATTGTAATATAAATCAAAAATTATTGTAAGGTTTATCGTATCAATTTAATATTAATATATGATAATTTATTTTATATAATAATAAAAAAATTAAAGGTTATTCGTAAAATATGTAAATATACAAAATTAAAAATAATAATAAAAAATAAAATAAAATGTTGAAAATAAGTAATAGAAAAAAGTAAAAAATTTAAAAATATATATATAAAAAAAATAATGAATTTATGTAAAAATAAATTAATATATTAATATATTTTATTTATTTAATTTATATATATTTAATTTCATTCAAATATATTTTTTTTAATATAATTTAAATTATATATATTTAATTAATTTAAATACATTATATTCATTAAATAATAATTGATATAAATATATATATATATATTTTTTCTATATTAATTCTTTTTATTTTATTTTTTTATTTCTTAATTATATTAATATTTTTATAATTACAAAAATCTATTATATTATATAAAAATTTATTATTTAATTTTATATATTAATTTTTGCTAATATGTATAATTAATCTTTAGAACAAATTTTTATTTCTTACATTTTCCGTTTGATACTTAAGAATGGAGGTACTCGTATGCAAATGGTTATTGGAGATATAACTAAGGAAATCTAAAAATTGCCAACAACTAGTGAAATCAATATGTATAGAAAGTAATATGGTAATTTAGAATAGTGCTTAAAACAAATAAAATATCCTTTTTTTATTATTGATAGTATGGTAATAAAATTTAAGCCTGAAGATTAAATATACTAAGTATTTTTAAATTAATTTAATAATTTTAATTATAAATATTATAAAAAAAGTTATTTAATTCTAAACATATAAATCAAAATGAATTTGAATATTATTAATAAGTGTATTAAGAAAATTAATAAAAGTTAATTCATATTATGAAAATAAATAATGAAAACGAATGTATAAATTGTGGTTAAAGTTATAAAATAGCTATAAATAATATTGGTAATTGTGAAGCTACAGGAGATAAGCATTAACCAAAGCATAATTTTTGAAAAAAATAAAAATATATAAATTTATTATTTATTTATGAATATAATTATATTTAATTTATATATTGTATTTAATTAGTAATAATTTTTTTAATTATATTTTTATTATGAATTATTATTGATGATTCCAAATTATTTCTTCTTTAAATCATTTTATTATTTAAGGAGAATAATTTGATTATTGTTTTTCTCTTTTAATTAAATTTGAATACATAATAAATATTATTCTTAAATAAATTAATTTTATTGATTTTCTATATAGATACAAATATCGAAAATCAATTAATTTTTTTTAAATTTAATAGTTTAAATAAAATATTTACTGAAAAATTATTACTCTATTTTAATTATAAAATATATAAATAAATTATGTCTTAATGAGGAAAATAATAGTTTCAATATTAAAATAAATTAAACATAATTATAGTACAAACAGAAATATATATGATAAAATAATTATATTTGAAATTAATTTAATTTATAATAAAAAATTAATAAAAAAAAAATTATTTTATATATATATTCTTATAAATTAAAAATAATTTAATTTTTATTCACAATTATATCAAAAAAAAAATACTGTAAAATTTTAAAATTAAAAAATAATTTGTTAATAGTTTTTATTTATTAATTATATAAAAAAAAGGTTACAGCAATAATGAAAAAAACAATATGAGCAAATAATATATAAATAACATATTTTTATTAATAAAAATATAGAATATATTTTTTTATAAAAATAAAACAACAAAATTTAATAAAAATATTTAAAATTAAAAAATTTAAAAATATAATAAATATAATTTTGTAATAATTTTATTAATTAAAACAAAATAAGAATAAAAAGTACAAAATTCTTGTTTTAATTTAAGTTAATATTTTTAATATAATAAAAATTATTATCTATATTATATTTATTTTGTCTATAAAATATATAAAAAAAAAAAATATTAATTAATAAAGTTATAAACATAATAATTTTTGTCAATTAAAAGAAAATATTATTAAAATAAATAATTATAAATATTCTGTATATAAACATTAAACAAAAACTTTAAAAAAAAAATAAAAAAATTAAAATAAAAAAATTGTAATAAAATTAAAATTAAAAATTGAAATGATGGAAATCGAAAGTGAAATCAGGCACAAAAATATACAATTTGAAGATTAAATATAACGATTTGTTTTTAAAATATAGTAACATCAATATTTAACTAACAGTTTAGAATAAATATAAAAGAATGCTTTTAATATTATTTGTGCATTTTTAAACCCTATAGAGATATGTTAATTAATGTTAACGAATTCACAATTATATAAAAAAATATAATAATTTAATAAACCGTAATTTTCACAATTTGCTTTAAAATTATTTGTAAATACATAATTAGATACATTAGTAGAATATGGGGATGAAGATGAATTCAAAAATTTAAGAGAAAAACGATTATTTCTAGCTTCATAAAATATGGAAAATTCTTTATTTTATTTATAAAAATATTCTAAATTACAAAAAGACTTGTTTTTATTAAAAAATATTCCAAATTAAATATTTAATTGTTTATTTGATCCACAAATCCCAAATATGACAATTAGAAGAGCAAATATAGGAACTTATTCAAATACTTGGTTTTAAAATATGTTATTAGATATTTAAATGAATAATAGTATTAAAGGAAACAAAAAAATAAAACATAATAAAAAATTAATTAAAATATTAACTTTGAAATTCTAGAGTAAATAAGAAATTATTAATAAATAATTTTTGAAAATATAGAGATGATTAAATAAAATGATGTAGTTATGTGTATTTTAACATTGAATGATATCATTGTTAATTAATGTGATTTTATTTATTAATTACTTTATAATATCAATGATTTTGATTTATTGATTTCTGAGTATAATAATAGATGGAATGCCTTTTCGGCTTCCATATATTAAATATAAAATATAACTTAAAATATTTATGATTAATTTAATGTTATTTACGAAGAAGAAAAGAAGAAACAAAATAGCTTTTTTTGCTCATCTACAAATCATAATTAACCTTAGTATTCTTTTTTAAGGATGGCTGTCTCTAATTGGAATAGAATTATTTTATAAAATCTTTGGAATAAGCTATTTAAGTCTTTTTCTTAACTTCTTTTATTTAGAAGAATAGAAAATCTACTTTATATGTTAAAAGTAAACGAAGATATTGATCCAAAATTAATTTATATGAATTATACTCCAAAGCGAATAAACTAAGATATCAATTTTAGTATTAATAAATACATATAAGCATTTACAAGCTAAATTTAAATTTAGAATTTTAATAGTTTCTTTATTAAAAACGGATATTATATAGATTCTTTATTAACAAATTTTAGTGAATGCATTTTAGATTTATCTGTTAATGAAAAGAATGCCAAATGGATTGGGCATTCGGATAATTTAATTGGATTTTATTATAAATAATTAGATAATTTATATCTAAATGAATCAAAATAATTCTATTCATAGTTTAATTAACTAATATTTTCAGTCAAACTGAATTTGAAGTATTTTTATTATATATATATATATGTTTCATTTATATATATTTTTTAAAAAAAATATTTATATAGTTATTTCTTAAATTATTTAATTTCTGATCTTTAATTTTCAAAAAAAATTATTAAGGAATAGACTTTATAGAAAATAGTGGATTTAAGTATGAACTTAGTAAAGGAAAATTTAAAGAATTATATTTTGTAGGAGAACGAAAAATAAATAAATGATTTTATAATAAATTATAAAAGAAAAATAGTTTCATTGCGAGAATAAGAAAAAGAATTGAAACATTTTTTAATTTCTTAAGGGATAAATGAGAGTCAAATAGATATAATTATAGAAAAGTATGATAATGAGATAAAAGGGGCTATAATAGAGTACAAAAAAGTTCAGGAGTAAATTTCTAATGAAAATATTAGCAAAAATGAATACTTAGAAAACAATAATTTTGAAGATACAAGGATATGCAGGCATATTTTTGATAGTTATGATTTAACTAAAGAAAATATTTAGCTTTCGCGTAGCCCGTAAATTTAAAATTTATAATAAGTTTTAAAAATATTAAATTTTATTTAATTTTTTTTTTTAAAAAAAAGGCTTCAAATTTAATGTAAACCGCAACTATAAGAAGAATAATTAGAATTTAATTTAGGAAGTAATAGTTTAGGTGGATCTAGCAATGATAATTTTGCTTTAGAAAAACCTAATTCAGATAATGGTTTTTGTAGTACGAATGATTCTTATTCAGACTACGATTAACACTAATTTTCTAATAATTTTAGTGATCATTAAGAAGTAAAGTGTTGTTGTAAGGGATATGAAGCGCTTAATAAAAGTCGAAGGCATTAAAATTTTAATAACATTTTTGAAGATTTTGAAAGAATGTTAGGAAAAAATCAGGAAGCCTAAATGATTGTGGTATGTTGGTTTTTATATTATTTGTTTTAATTTGGATTTAATATTTATGTTTTTTAAAATTAAAATAGGAAAGTGATTAGGAAGATCATTTTATGTACGATTTTACTAATGATATTAATTAAAAATGCTCTTGAGGAGCATTGATTATAAGGCAATTGATTTTAGTATAATTATAAATAATTATAAAATTTCCTAAATTATTATGATTTTGAATTAATACAAATAAGTGTATTTTTTTAATATTGATTGATTTTAATAATAGAATTTTATTTAAAAAAAATAGAAAAAGGAGTAATAATAAGGAAAATATTTGATTATTTATCTAAAATCAATTGTTATGAAAAAAATAAAAACTATATATAAAAGTTTTTTTTTTTTTTCAAAAAAAAAAGAAAGAATATATATATTAATATATAATATAAAAAATTTTATAATTATAAAATTTTATTAAATTGAATATATTTAATTTATTTTTATATTAACAAATTTTATTAAAAAATGATTTTTTAAATTTTATATTTTTTATTGTTAAAAAAAAAAAATATATTAAAAAATTCAGAATATAAAAATTTAAATATTATGAAATGTTATAAAGATTCACCTATTTTTTTTAAAAAAGAAAAATAAAATAAACATACATTACCCGAACTTAATTAATGTTTTACTTAAAAATATGATATTATAAATTAATAAATTAATAATGATTAAAAGAAAATGTAAATGCAAATAAAGATTTTTATATTTTAAATTTATATATATATATTTTATTTTTAATGAGAAAAAAAAATATAATTAATTTAATCCTTTTTAATGTGAAAGAGATTCTTTTAGAAAATCGATTTAATATAATATTCATAATAATTAATCTAAAAATGAAGAAAAGTTCAATTAATAATTTTCTTAGAATTTAAACTCAAATGTAAGAACCTTATGTAGTGAATTTAATTAACCAAATGTTTAAAATAACTTAGACGTTAAAAATCCAAAAAATAAAAAAAACTTATCATTATATGAATAAATAAAATGATTTACAAGCAATAGACTAATTAAATATGCAATTATACTAACAAATGCCAAAAGTTAAAAAAATATAACAATAATAAAGTTTAATCAATATTATTTATTATATAAAAATTCAGAATGGCAAGAAGATAAATAATATAGCTTTGTTACAACTAAATTAGTATTTAGTTGAAAATAGACTGAAAAATAAAAGCAAATAACTTATTGATATATTAAAAGTATTTAATAATAAAAACTATTTTATAAAAGAAAAAATAAATAGGAAGATATTTAGAAAAAAACTATTAATAAACATCAAAAATTTCACAGTTTAGTATAATATAATGAATTTTAATAGTTTTTTGATAAATAAGATTAAAATTAAATTTAAAATTTAAGATTATAATATGAAAGTTAGACTTAAAAAAAATACTAATTGTAAATAAAAAAAATATATATATTGTTTTTTATTTAAATACATGTATATTTAACCTTTAATTTTAAATAAAGAAAAATAAATCATGCCAACCATAAATAGGTCAATATAACGTTTAAAAAGCGGATTAATTAATATATCCGAAAATTTAGAATACTATAATAAAAAAAAAAGTTAATCTAATTATTAAAATATATAAAAATAAACATTTAAATATTGTAAATGTCTAAAGCGCTGTTAAAGCAATCAAAATATTTAAAATATAAAATAAAATGAAGAAAAAGAACAATTTTAACCATGTATTATTTCATTTTAAAATATTTATTTTTTAAAACATATATAACCTTAGAAAAGATTTTGAAATATTATGTTAAGCAATAAGATAATGAAAAAGTTCTGAAATAGATTAATAAATAATTTGATAAATATAAAGAACTATTTTAAGAAAAAATGAGTTATGCATATTAAAAAATAAATTTACTTAAAAATAAAATATAGCATTGGGATCATGAAATTCAATTTTAAGACTAGATATCTAAATTTGAACATTTAGATAATTGAATAAAAAATAATAATAAAATTAAAATTTAAATAAATAAATAAAAACAAAAATAAAATTATTGATTTATAATTAATAAAATATTTATATATAAATAATTAAAAAAAAAATAAGATATAAAATATACTGTTTTATCCATATTATGAAAATTTAAAAAAAATTAATAATTATATAAATCATAAGTTTAAATATGAAATTAGTATAATTTTAATGAAATATAAGAAAAGAATATGTATATTGATTTCAAAATATATTTTATGATGTTTTGTAAATTTTTTTAAAATAAATTTAAAATTGTAATAAAAGATGAAAAAAAAAAAAATATAAACAAGTAATGTATTATTTTAATAAATAAATAAATTTTTTTTATATATGAATAGAGTTAATATATTATATATAAAATATATTAAACAAATTAATATTAAATGATTGATTTATTAAAAAATAGTCTAATTTTTTATTATTTAAAATAATATATATATATATATATATATTTTCATATATATATATATTTATGTATCTATTATATTAATATGTCTATATGTTAGTTTCTATAATATGTTTTACAATTAATTTATTGTTTTTTATTTATCAAATAATTTTTTTTATAATATATATTTATATATATATTTTTTATTTAATAAAATTTATTTATTTAAATATTTAATTTTACTATTTATATTTATTCATATTAAATTTAATAAGTTTATTTTATTAATAATTTTTATATATATTTTATTTTTTGTTCACACATATTTTTCAATTACTAAAGCTAAAATCATATGAATTCAATTGCTCATTAGATGGTAATATAGTAGGTGTTGATATTATACTTTTTATATTTTTCAATGATGTAATCGGATTTATTACATTAATATTCTTTATTCTAATACTATTTTGGCTATTTACTTATCTCTAAAAGAATACTTTTTAAGCTTAACTTTCAATTTTTTATAAATTTTAATTTATTTTAGGCAATACTTTATTTTATGAATTTGCTTTTAATACTAATTGAAATGAGTTTTTAGAAATATTTATATCTAATGCATTTTTCAAATTTTTTAAGCTTAGTTTATTTGTTTTGATTAATTAGTTGTTTTCTTTCATTTCAGTTAAACTTTTTTACTTTTCAACATATTTGATTTACTAATTATTATTATTATTAATTGTTTAGTTTTATTAAAATTTAAAATTAAAAAAATTATTAAGTTCTTTTTTTTAAAAATTATTATATTATTAATACTCCGTAGGATAATTTAAATATATTTAATTATTGTTTTCTTATAAAAACTCATTAATTTCATATTATTGAGAATTATTATTTGATCGAGAATTATTTGTAGTTATATTTGTTTAGTTTTATTTTTCTTAGTTTTGTTAAGTTAATTATTCTTCTTACGATTATTAATCATTTATTATAGGGAAAAAATCTATTGGAAACTTATTTTTTGATTATACTTTAATAAGTCTTTTTCCCCTATAATATATATATATTTTTAATAAATCATTAATTTATTTTTAATATTTTTTTTTTTAAAAAAAATAAAGTATAATAGATTTACTATTAAGCTGTATTAACTTATTCATTTCTGATTTTTTAAAATTTGTTTTTTTCTATATTTATATTTGTTAAGTTTTTTTTTTTTATGATATAAATTATATTGGCTTAGTTTCTTGATAGAAAATTTTAGAATTATTTTAGTTAAATGAATTATATTCAAATTTATTTTAATTTATGTCACTAGTAATCATGTGTTTATAATAGTTTTTTTTTTTTATTTAATTTTTTTTTTTTTAATTTAAATAAACTAAAAAAAAATAGATTAATTTATTTTTTAATAAAATGATATTAATTATAAAGAATTTTATTTTAATTTCATTACATTTTTTTTTCTTTTTTCTGCAAATAAATAAAAATATAATTTTATGAAAATATCATTTGTATAAAAAAAAAAAAGTTTAAATAAAAATTTATTACTTTTTATTTAAAAATATGAATAACAATTCAATTTTATATTAATTCTGATTATATTGGAATTTAATTTAATGATTTTTATGACATCGGTTTTTCAATTTAATTTGTAAATTAATCATGTTCATTTTCAAAATCATTAGTTAATTTCATTTTTTTAAACAATATTGGTAACCCCCCAAAAACCATTAAATAAAGTATCATGTAATGTATACAATCAACTAAATAAAAACTAAGCCCTACTAAACTAACAGTTTAATGATATGCAATATCTTCAATAAAATTGTTAAAAATCCATGAAGGAATTAAAAAGCACCAACCAATGAAAACTCTAAAAAACCTTTTTTTGATACTTCCAGCAAACCACATATAATTTTTCATAGTTTCCTAATAAGTATAAGCTACTCCAAAAACAGCCCCAATAAGCCCATATAGGCAAGAGGTTTATGCAAAAGTGGGCCAAATACCAATAATTTGATAAAAAGGAATATTCCAATTCAAGTTATTTCCATTTTTTTGGGAACATTTTGTATAATTACGAACCCAAATCACTTAAGGTATATCACTAATTACATTAACGAAAATTATTGTGATAAGTTATGAGATTGTAATGCTTAAAAACCAATAAACTACATATTTTTTTACTAAACGGATTTAAATGCTTGAATTGTGAATTATATTATCAATATAATTGTCTAGAAATTTCAAACTGAAATAAAAGATTTAAAAATATAATAAACTTAATAAAAAGTTGCTTATATAATCTTAACCTGATATGTATTTCGAAAAAGATACACAAAATGTAAAAAAAACCAATATTATTTATAAAATCCTATATTTAGTTAATTTACTTTAAAACTCGTCAGAATCACGATTAAGTATTCTCTTTTTGAAACAGAATACAGTATAAAATACTAATAAAAATAACAAAAATATACTTTTGGATGGATGGTTGAAAGTATTTAGGCATATAGGACTTGCTACTGCATTTATTTAAGGATTATCACTTAAAGAAATCCAAAAGGGACGAACTCCTCCATATATTATTGCTATTATTGATATTAAGTAATCTGAAACTAAGGTCATGTAGGCAACTTTTATTGCTATGATTGAATCTATAGAATAGTAAAATAATTAAATATATGCTGTAAATAATATAAAATTATATTTTTGGTAATCTAATTTTAATAAAAATTGAAATATTTTATTGGTTTAATATGTATTTATTTATTCGCCTGTTTTAGGATTTGTTTCTAGTTTTATTAAATTTAATTTTATTTAAAGTTAATTTAACCATGATGTTTCGTAATCTATTATCATTTCGTAAAATATTCTTTCTATTATTATTAAGAAAAATATAAAGGATATCCCTACTAATACTTTTAGTAGTTTCTTTTTATATTTCATGATTTAGATTTAATTCTAGTCGAGATTTACTGATGTTTATTTATTATAATTTGATTATAAATTCATATTTTTTATTTGTGTAAGATTTTATAATTTTATATTTTAGTTTTTTAATTTTTCTATAATATAGACTATTTATAATAATTAAAGTTTATTTAAATATTTATTTTTTATTTTTAAAGATTTTTAATTAATGTTATTTATTTAAAAATGATAAAATATATAAACTAAAATGAAAAATTGATTTGCTTTCTAAAACATAATATAAATCAAAATAATTTAATCATTTTTTATTTATATATAATATAAATAATGAAAATAAATTTAAAGCATTTATAGAATATTATATTAAAAGTGATAAATATCTTCTAAAAATTAATAATCTTCTTAAATAATAAATAATAATAAAATATATAGTTTTTAAATAAAAATATATAAAATTTAATATTAAATATAATATATAATGAGTAAATATTATTTAATCATAGTTAATTATAAATTAAATAAGTATATAATTTAATTTATTTATATAATTTTATTGTTCTAAAATAAAGTATTATATGATATATGGTTTATAAAATAATATTTAAACAAGATTTATTTTATTTGATGTTTTGCAAATCAAACATATAAAAAAATTATTTATCATAATAACTAAAAAATTAAATAGAATGTTAAATATTTTATAAGCATATTTTTTAATTAAATAAAAATTAATTTAAAATAATAAAAAAGGCTAAAAAAAATTAAGAGAAAAAAGGTAAAAAGAAACATAAAATAATAAATTAAAAAAAAAATACTAAAAAAAATAAATATATAAAGCAATAAAAATAAAATAAAATAAAAATGGTTACAAGACTTAAACATTCAAGAAAATTAAGAGGACACGTTTCACATGGTCACGGAAGAATTGGAAAGCGTAAAAATAAAATAATATATATATATTTAATAATATATATATATATATATATATATTTAAATATATATAAATATATATTTTTATATAAATATAATAATATTTAATTAAAATTCAATCTTATTAATAATAATTTTTAAATAAAAATATATAGACAGAAAGGGAGGTTGTAGAGGTGGTCGTGGTTTAGCTGGTGGTATGCATCATCACAGAGTAAACATAGATACTTTTTTTTATTTTTATTAATATTAAAAAAATTAAGATTTTGATGTAAAAATGGCATCCTGGATATTTTGGTAAAAAAGGAATTAGAACTTTCCATTACAATAAAAATGCTCATCATTAACCTGTTGTTAACATTGATAAATTATGGTCTTTAGTTTCTGAAGAAACCAGAACAAAATACGCTTTAGTTAAAGATAAGGCAACATATATTAAAAAAATAATATTTAATTTTTAAATTATTTTATATTTTATAGGCACCTGTTATTGACGTAACAAAAGCTGGTTTTTTCAAAGTTTTAGGTAAGGGAAGACTTCCAGCCTAACCTGTTGTTGTTAAAGCTAAATTTTTCTCTAAAACAGCTGAAAGAAGAATTAAGGCTGTAGGTGGAGCTTGTGTTTTAATTGCTTGATTTCGAAAAACAATATATTTATTATATTTTAAAATAATTATTTTGATGTTTGTTTTATGAATATGTTTGTTTTTTATATTTATTTTTCTATTTAAACGCATATAAACGAAAATTTAATTTAAATTTATAAACTAATTAATTATATTATAAATATATATATATATATATTAGTATTTGAGATTTTATAAAAAAAAATTAATATATATTTTATAAATATTTTCTTTTTTATTTTTTTTTTATTTTTATTTTTTATTTATCTAGATGCAAATAATTTATTCAAAAACTTTTTGTTTTGTTTTGTTTATTAATTATAAGAAGAAAAAATAAAATATTTTAAAAAAGAGCAATTATTATTATTTTATATAATAAATATTTATAAATAAAGTTAAATTTATATTTTTTTATTTTATAAATTTAAAAATATATAAATTAATCATTATTAATATATTATTAATTTTTTTTTTTTTTAATTTTGTATTTTTTTTATTTACGACTAATATAATAAACTTAATGTCCAATAATTGTTTAATATGTATGCTAGATATAATAAAAGAAGAAGCATAATTAGACTGCTGTAATCATAAATTTTGTTTTGATTGCATTTAAAATTGGATGAAATATAAAAATAAATGTCCGATTTGTTAAATGGAAATTTCATTAATAACTAACATATTAACTAAGGAAGAAATTTATACAGAAAATATTTAAAAGATAGTTTTAGAAAAAAATGAAAATGAATTGTTTGAATGTCTTGATCATAATTATTTATAAGTAGAAGTAGAAAAGCTTTCTTATAAACTTTAACATGTAAGGAATAAATTAAATTAAAACTCATAAAAATATGAAGAGTTCAATTGGTTTGTTTTCGAATAAATAGATAGTTAAGTAAAATAATTAGAAGATATTGCTGATAATTTTATAGAGTTCAACCCTTAGTTTGTGTTTAATATTTGTATTTAATTAGATTAATAACTTGATTATATAAGAAATAATAATTGGCTTTAAATTAATGATATTTATTCAGATATTTACGCTATTAAGCTTTAAGAGGATGATGAATAAAAAAGGTAAAATGATTTCTTTGATAGTACTGTTAAAAATATAGATACTTGTATTTCTTATTAGTATGATAATTTAATATAGGAATATTCAGACAAAAATATAAAGAAAAAAATATTAAAAAAAATAAAATAAATAAAATTATTGAATAAATATAAGTTAATACTAAAAAATAATGAATAAATGAAATCTTTTTAAAATTTTTATTAAGATTTGGTTTTTGTGTTATTAAATATAATAAAAGTTATTTAATTATGAATTAATATAAATATATAGATCAAATTTATATAAGTAAAGAGTTTATGTTTATACATATTTGTGAAAAACATATATAATTAAATTAATTAACTAAATATTAATAAATAAAAATATTTTTTTTTAAAAAAATTGTCTTTTATTCTTTATTTAAATTTAAATATTTATTAAAATAAGTAATTGTTTTTTATTAAGAATTAATATAAAATATTAAATAAATATTTATAAAAAATAAATATTCTTAAAAAAAGAAAATAATAATATTAAATATTAGTTTAAATTATAAATAAAATAATATATGCTATTTCAAATTTAAAACTCTTAAATATAATATTTTCCACAAAAAAATTTACATACAATAATTAAAATATAATATAAGAATTAATAAATTTTATTTTTAATTTCATTTTAAAAAAAAATATTTATATAAAAACATGAGTGAAGAAAGATACACTTTTATAACTGAATGGTATGATACAAATGCTGGAATAGTTCGTTAATTTCATCTTTATTACTTTATAAACGATAATTTAATTGAAATAGTAAAAAATAAATAATTAATATATTATAAATTAGTATTTTTTTTTTTTTTTAAAACAAAAAAGTATGACTTAAAAAACAAAAGAATATTTTTAAAAAAATGCGAATATCCTTAAATTTAAATTTCTAATTTATATATAGGAAGCATTTTAAATATTTATAGTAGATAACATAAAATTTTGGATTATGCCGATTAATTTACTCGTTAAAAATTTTCTTCATAAGCAGCAAAGTATGTATTTAATTTTTTTATTTTAAATAAAATAAATACAAAATATAAACTATAGATCATTATTAATAATAAAACCAGATGCCTATTTAAAAATAGGAAACATTATCGAATAAATAGAATAAAATAATTTCAATATAAATTAAATAAAAATGACAAAATTATCATTAAAAGAAGCCGAAGAATTTTATGCTGAACATAAAGGCAAATCGTTTTTTGCAGATTTAACATAATTTATTTGTTCTGATTTAATAGTTGCAATAGAACTAGTAACAAACGATTGTGTTAATAATTTAAAGAAATTAGTTGGACCAACAAATTGTTAAGTATTATTTTTTTAAAAAAAATAAAATAAAATAAATGAAAAACCAAAAGGTTGCTAGAGTAGATGCTCCTAAAAGCCTAAGAGCATAGTTTGGATCAGATGGAGTAAGAAATGGTTTACATTGTAGTGAAAATAAATAAAAAGCTAGTTTTGAATTAGATTTCTTTTTTTCAGAAAAATCAGATATAAAAGTTACTTATTATTTTAAAAAACACATATAATTTATATTAAAATATAAAAAAAAAGCCATGTGCTATATTTAATAATTGTACTATATGTCTTATTAAACCACATATACTTAAATAAAGGAAAATAGGATAAATAATATAAGTTATTCTTAATGAAGGATTCGAAATTAGTGCTATGTAATCTTTCAATTTAAATAGACCGACAGCAGAAGAGTTTCTTGAAATTTATAAAGTAAAATATAAATTTTTATTAAGATTAGTAATATATAAGAATTAATTTAAAGGGAGTTTTACCTGAGTTTAATTAAATTGCAGATCATATTTCTTCTGGAACATCAATTGTAATGGAGATTAGGTAAGAAAATGTTGTCTAGTTATTTAGAGATATTTGTGGACCGATGGATCCTGAAATTGCTAAAATATCATAGCCTTCAAGTATTAGGGCAATTTATGGAATAGATAGAATTAGAAATGCTGTTCATTGTACAGATTTACCAGAAGATGGATAATTAGAAGTATAATATTAATATTATTATTTTATTTTTTATAAAAAAAGGTGGAGTTTTTCTTTAATATTTTATAAAAGATTTGATTTTTTTTAAAAAAAATATTTAAAGACTTTATTTATTTATCATTTATATTAAACTTTTACAATATATATACTTAATTTATCAAATATTTTGAATAATTAATATTATTTTATATTTCTATATATATAAAACAAAATTTTAATAAATAAAATTTAAAAAAAATTAATATTTGAAGTCTTTATAATTTTTTGTTAAATTTAACATAATTTTATTTAAAGAAAATAAATATTTTTAATAAATTAATTTATTTATAAAAAAATATAATTATTGAGTTTTATGATAATAACAATATGTTTTTTATCAATTAACTAATCATCTTATAAGATTTTTATTGATAATAAAAACAAATTTCTAAAATTAAATAATATATATATATTATAATTCACTTTTTAAAATTATTTTTTCTGTGATATTATAAAAAAAAAATTAATATATTATGAATTCACTTTAAATACTATTTTACTTTATAACAAACTTTATAATTTTTTCGATTGCTATTATATATAATTTTTTTTATATTCCAAATCTTTTTATGGTTAAAATATAAAAATAAATAATAAAATATTTTATTTTAAATCCTATTAGAGAAATATTCCTTTAGCAATATTATTAGAAATATCATTTAATTATTTTTTTATATTAACTTTTATTTGTTATTGGAAAACTGCTTTGACACCTCCAGGGACACCTAAATTTGATGAAGTTTTTATTTAAGAAAACTAATGATTTTTAACAAAAAAAAAATAAAAGACAAATGAAATACCTCAAGTAAGTACATAATATATATAAAATAATTCTTATGATTAAGAATAAGAATAAGAATAAGAATACGACGAATAAACAGACAAGCGAAAAGAATAAAATTTATATTATAAGTATATATTAAAAAATATCATATAAGTATAAATTAATTTTAATTTAAAAATAAGAATTTTGAATGAAGAAATCATTTAAACATATGAACCATAAAAATGCTTATACTGCCCAAATATTAAAATTTCACGTACCCATCATTGTAGAGAATGTTAAGTGTAAATATTTTAAAACAAAAATAAAAATTAGTTTTTTAAAAAAAGATGCATTTATAGAAAAGATCATCATTGTCCTTGGCTTGGTACTTGTATAGGACTTAAGAATCATAAATTTTTTATTTTATTTTGTTTTTATAGTTTTATTGCATAAAGCTTAGTAGCAATACCTTTGTTAAAAGAATTTATAGATTAAGATGGTTTTATTCATTTCGAAGCTTATAAATTCGGATTACTTTCTGTTTTATTAGTATTCTGTTTTGCAATGAGTATTTCTTTGCTAGTTTTACTTTTATTTTAGATTTATTTAAGTATATATAATAGAACGACAGTTGAATTTTAAAAACTTTAATTTGTAAAATAATAATATATATTTCAAACATGTTATTTTTATAATAATTACAAAATTTATAGAATTAGAATCCTTTTGATAGAGGATCTAAATATAAAAATTTAAAAGAAATTTTTGGTGATGATTTCAGTTGGAAATGGTTTTTTCCAGTATAATAAAAGTTTTAATATAATATCTATTGTGAAAATAAAAAAGTAATAATGGTTTGAATTTGATTAAAGAATAAAACATCTAATTATAAAAAAATTACCATATATTATAATTTATAATCTATTTAAGGAAAAAATATAATTAAATAATTATATTACTTTTAATTTGAAATATTCTTAAGTATCAACTTTAATATTTTTTAAAAAAAATATTTTAATAATTAATCTTTATTTAATTACATAATTTTTATATAAAATATTATTTAATATCTTATATAAATATAGTATAAATTTATTGTTTTTATATAAGAATTAAATTTGATTAATTCTTTAGTATAAAGTATTTTATTATAAAAATATTTTATAATCTTGTTATAAAAAAATTATAATTATATATAATTTAAAAATCGATTTTATAAAAATAAAATATTTATTAAAAACATATTATATATAAAAAAATCAAATGAAATATTAAGAACTTAATTAAATTTATCAAGAAAATTAGATAAATTAATACAGATAAGAACTTGAAAACCTTTTTAATGATGGTCATTTAAAGAAATTAACCAATTTTGATAATTTTTAAGAATAAACAAATAATTAAAGTAATTAATCCACATAAGATCACTCTTCAACATTTTTAAATTATCAATAAGAATAAAACCCCTAATGTTTAATAAACTAAGGTAATAATAATAATATTAATAAAAATAATAATATAAATAATATAAATTATTTTAATAATAATAATAGTAATTTAAATAATACTGATACTATTGTAAATTAAATAAAAACTAGGATAAAAAGGAAAAATTATTAATTCAAATATTTTATATATTAAGAAACAAAAAATATATATCAAATAATAATTTATAGATTATAAAAGCATTTATAATCATAAGGAATTGAAATTAATAAAAAATTAAATAGCCTATTGAAACTATAAAATTTTTTAAAATTAAAAAAGAAAGAGAGTGATTCTGTTTTAAAAAATGTTTAAAAATAATGTTTAAGGTATTTCTTCTATTATAATTAAAAAAATAATTTAGAAGAAAAAAACTAAAAAAGTTCCTTTATAAATTCTAAATATTAAGAATCATTTATATATTTTATAATCCATTTTGATGAATATTATGGATTGAAAGATATCTATAACCTCATAAATAAATATTAATAATGAATTTATTTAGGTTCAACAAAAATTGATAATATTTAATCTATATTTATTTCTTTATTTTAATAAAATTTATTTTTATAATAATATATATACATACATATTCAAGTTTATATTTAATTTTATTTTTGGTTAATTCCTATATTGATTATATCAAACAAATTAACTTTTTTATACTCGTATTTAATGGTCTTTATTTAAAAAATTACATATCATATATCATAATAATTAATGATTAAAATTATGTAAAATTAACATAGATTTTTTTATAAATAAATAATATTTTATTTATAATATAATTTCATATTTATTAAAATTGATTTATATTTAATATTTTTTATTTAAATCTCACATTTTTTGTTTTATTTAATAATTATATTAATAAAAAAATAATATTTACTTATAATGATTAAGTAAAAACACAAAATATTATTTTTATAAATATCTAACTTTTAATTTGTAAATTTAATTTTATATTTTTAATTAACAAAATACCGATATTTAAATTAAAGCAAAAAAAATTAAAAAAATCTTCTATAAAAAAACTAATAATAATAAAAAAAAAAAAATATAAAAATAAAATAAAATGAATTTTAATGAAAAACAATAAAAATGGAAACTTTATAACCCTTACTTATATGATTATATGTATATAAGTTACTTTTTAAATTCTTTAAAAAAAATTATAAAATAATTATTATAAGGCATTTTATTACGAATTATTATTATACTAAACTTCTTATATATATAAAAAATATATAAAAAAAATTAAATAAAAAAATTAAATATAAAGTTTAGATAATAATTTAGATTGGCCATGTACAACATGTTAATGGGGTCCAGTTATTTAACAAAATTCCTAATACATTAAATAAAATATTTTTTTTGCTTGCAGAACTGATGGAACATATATTGAATAAGAAAATTCATGGTAAAAATAACCAAGTTAATTAATTGTAGCACAAATAGGTTCTTTTTTTTAAAAAAAAATAAAAATAAAATAAAATAAAATAAAAAAAAAATTAAATTGAAAAAAATAGTTTTTTTTATAATATATAATTTTGATAAATAGATATACCTTAACATGGAAAATGCTTCAATTAAGAATTAAGAAATGTTTATTTGTAAGAAAATCTAAAAAAGCATACAAATTTAAAAATAAAGCAAATAATAATACATCCTGGAGACGCAAATATAATGAAAAAATGTTTATTAAATAATAAAATTATTGCTACCAAAAATGATTCAGGTTTTATTTTTATTTGGGATTTAGATAAACATAAAAACCAACCTTAATTTAATAATACTAAATATGCTAATATTCCAGAAATAAAGTATTTTTTTTTTAAAAAAAAAACATTAAAAAATAAATATAAAAGCATATAATAATTTAAAATATTAAAGATTAATAGGCCATAGTACAAAATCCCCTTCATTTGCCTTAAGTTGGGCAAAAAATAGTTATAGAATTGCAAGTGGAGGAAAAGATTTAGCAATATTAATTTGGGATATAGAAAATTATTAGACAAGACTTTCAAATAATTATTTATTAAATAAAAGAGAACTTAATCATATAGGAAATCAAAATGAATAATTTAAATTAAAAAATAATATAACTTTATTAGGACATACTGAAATGATTGAAGATATTTCATTTTCACCAAATAAAAAAGATGTACTTGTAAGTGTTGGAGATGATAAAAAATTACTTTTATGGGATTTAAGAGTATCACATGAAAAATAATAAGAGGTAAGAATTTTTTTTTAAAAATAAAAATAAAATTCATATAAAAGAAACAAAATATATAAAGAATTTTATTTATTTTAAAAATTTCAGTTTTAATATTTATTTTTAATTTTAAAAAATTAATTAAATAATAAATATTAAAAAAAAAGGTGAATGATTTACATAATGATGATATTAATTGTGTCGATTGGAGTATACCTAATGAGTTTTATATTGCTACTGGTTCTTCAGACGGAACTGCTTGTGTAATGGATATTAGAAATTATAAAAAAATTGTTACTATAAAAACTAATAATGAATAAATTTTAAATGAAGAATTGTCTTAATATTCTGTAATGAGCATTAAATTTGCTCCATTTAAAGGAAATTATTTAAGTATTGGTTCAGATAATCTTTATATATATGATTTGGTAAAAAATAATAGATTAAAATTTATAATTTAAAAAAAAATAGAATAATTTACAAATTGATTATGAATAAAATTTATATAAACCATTATTAACTCATTTTGGATAAAAGTTTATTTTTTATATATATTTTATATATATATATATATATATATATATATATATATATATATATATATTTATATGTTTTATTTATTTAAAATATTATTATTTTTTTACTATAGAGGAGTTATTAATGATTTAGATTGGAATACGGAAAGTGATTGGAGTATTATGAGTACTTGTCAAGAATTCGATCACGATAATTCTGGAGGAGGTTCTTTGTAAATATTTAGGCCTCTTGATTTAATTTATTTACCTGAAGATGAGGCTGCTAAAAACTTGAATATTTTTTAGATGATGATTTTGTTAAAAAATAAAAAGAATAGGATTAAGAATGATGTTTTGTATATTATTTTGTTTTTGATTTTAATTTATATATATCAATTTTTATTTAATTTATTAAAAATTATTTTTATATTCAAATCCAATTTAATGTTTAATTTATTTTTTTATTTATTTTATTAGTAATATTTATAGAATTTATATATATTACTTCTAAAAATATATTATGATACATATTTTTTTAATAAATACTTAAAAAATAACAAAAGTTTATATAAAAAATAAATAATTGTGTTATTATAAAATTATATATAATTAATAAAAATTTATTTTTTTATAATAAAAAAATATATTTAATAATATAATATTTCGATTTCAGCAATATTTAAACTTTTCATTAGAAATCTAATTATTATTTTTCATTTAAAATTAAGGTAAGTCATAATTTTTTTAAGTATGTTAATAATTACTATTAAGTTAAACTTATTATTAATTTTTATTAATTTAATCAGGAGATTTAAGTTTATTTTGATTATAATTTTGCTATTAATATTATTATTAATCCATAAAATCTTATTATTAATAATACATACTTTATTATTTTTATTATTATTATTATTATAAATAAAGTTATTATCTTTATTCAAATTATTCATTTTCTGATTTGTTGATAGAAGGGCTTTACTATTTAGCAATATCATAATTATTATTTACTAAATAATTAAAATCACCTTTTTATTAATAAATATTTTATTAACTTATATAATTGTTATTCTCTTATAAAACAATACTTTTTTACTATACTGAATTATTTGACAATGGACTTAATTAAGAATTATAGGTGCCATATCTTTTTGCCTAACTTTAAGTTTTACTTGAAGTTAAAATCTAATTATTCAAATTAGAATTTCCCATTAAATTTATTGATCTACGGGATACTCTAGTATCGTTTTTAAGTTTTTCGTTTTCTCTTAAGATTATATCTCTTTTTTTTTCTAATTTATCAACTAATTCTTAACATTCATTTTTTTATTGTAATAAATAATCTCTATCTAAATTCCATTTTGATCGTTCTTTTTCGTGTTCAAATATTAAATTACTTCTTTTTTATTCTGATTCCTTGTATTTTTATTTTAATTCATTTATTTTGTTTTTAGAGTTTTCTCTTTCTAAGTCAATTTATTTTTAAAATTCTATAATCTTTTTTATTTATAATTAAAATAAAAAAATTAAATAAAGATAAAAAATATATATTTATATATATATATATATATATATATATATATATAATTTATCTTTATATATATACCTTCTAATCTTTTTCGTTTTTTAAAAAGTCTATTTCTTACTATAATTTTCTCTCACCTTCTAATAATTCTTGCATTTTCTTTTCCGTTATTAATTAATTTCCTAATTTTCCTTTTTTTTCTACAATTGAGCATTCCTTCAATTATTTTAATTCTTTATTTAATTTTCTTTGCTATTTTTAATTTTATTTAGATTTTAGAAAATATAAAATACTTTATCTTCATAATCTTATACTATTCTTAAATGATTTTCATTTAAATCATTAATTTAATTTTAATATTTTTTTTCCATTGATATTAATAATTCATTTAAATTATTAGAATTTTCATCTTTTTCATTATTTCTTGCTTTTTATAAATGAATTAAAGTCATTTCAAATTTTTTTAAAGCATCAACCAAATCTTATTTCGCCTTTTTTAAAAAAAAACATAATTTTTTTATTATTATATAAAAATATACTTATTCTTTTTATTATTCAAGAAAAACAAATTTTCCTTCCCATAAAGCTTTATCTCTTTCATAGTTAGTAAGAATCTCATTCTTATCTTATTCTAATTATAAATTATATTATTTATACCTATCTGCCTCATATTATAGTTATTTCTTTTCATTAGAAATTTATTCTTTTAATTAGAAAATTTAAATTACATAATTTTAATTTTCTGCCTACAATTTTAATTCTTATTCGGATTTTTTTTATTCTATATTTGCCAATTTTTCTTAATATATTGATTTCTCTTTTTCAATTTATGATAATTATTTATTATATGTGCTTTCTATTTCTTTTAAACATTTTCTAGCTTTATCATATTTTTCTTCCATTAAGTCTTTTTGTTATTATAATCTTTATGTTTTATCAATTATTTCTTAATTCATTTCATTTTTTAATAATTCTAATTTATTTTTATAAAATATATATATTAATATTTTTTTACTTAATTTTTCTTCATAATTAATTGTTATTATTTAATTTTATTTTTATAAATCTTCATTTTCTTAATTAAAAAGTCATTCTATATTATAAAAATATAATAAAAAATAATATTTTTTTTTTTTACTTTTTGATTAGCTAAAGCAATCTATTTAGAAATTTCAATTTTTTGAGCGATAAATTCTTCATTTTATAAATTTAGTTTATTTTTATTATCGTCAATATGACTAAGAAGTGTATTTTTTTCGTTTAGAAATCTTATTTTAATTATAATATATTGTTTTCTTTTTTCTTTAATTGGCTTTCTATATTTTCTTTTTTTATTATATAGTTATTAGTTCTTTTCTTTGTTTTAAAGTTCATTATTAATTTAATAATATTTCTAAGATAAAGTTTTTCTTTCTATATCAAAATTCTTAAATTATTATTAAATTGTATTATTATTATTTTATTATATACTAACTAGACTTTCTTTGATTTCTTTTATATACTTTTCTAATGTATCTATTGCTTATTATTTTAAAGCTAACTCATGCTCATATTATTAAACTGTTTCATGATATTATTACTCTTATTAACTCAAATCTTCTTTTAAATTTTCAATTTCCTTTTATATGTTATTTATTGAAAAAAATTAAATAAAAAAATACGTCTTCATAATTTTATTATTATTCTCTTATTTATTCCTAATATTCATTACCTGCTTATTAGTATTTTTTATCAAATTTTTCTTTGTCTTCTATTAAACGTCTTTCTATTGTTTCTCTTTCGATTGTGTAAATACTTTTTAATTAAAGTAAATTTTCTTCTGATTTTTATTAAGATTCACGAATTTCCTTTGCTGCATTTAGCTTTGTTTCTTCTATTTCATCTTCTAATTCGTGTATTTTTTTGAAGTATTTTTCTTCGTTTTCCTTTGCTAAATTTGATTTCTCAAATTCTAAAATTTGAATTTTTTGTTAATATTTTTATATCAAATTTTCAAAATTAAGTGTTTTTTCCCTTAATTATTCTATTTCTTTACTGAGATCTGCATTTTCAAATTTAAGCTTTTTTAGTTTTTATTAAAAATAGTATTTTTTGTTAAAAAAATAAGAAGTTTACTTTAATTTCTAAATCATTATTTTTTTCATTTAATTATTCAATTTATTATATATATCTTTTTTTTGCCTTTTCAAAGTCATTTTCTAAAGCTTTTATTTCTTTGTTATGATTATCCTTTAATTCTTATAACTATTTGTTATCAAATTTTGCCGAAGAATCAAAACTTGAAGATTCTAAAGCCTTTTTTTTTTATATTTTTTTTTTAACTGAAATTACTTTCATAATAGCTTCATGTGCTCTTTTGTTTTCTTCTAATTATTATTTAGTTTCTTCATATTATAATTAAAGAAATTCTAGTTTTTATTAAAATAATGCTTTTTCCTTCTAGAAGTTATTTTTGAAATTAATAAGTGTATCTTCTTTTTCTTTCAATACTTCTTCATAATATTAAACTTTTTCTTATAATTCTATATTATATTTAGTAATATCATTTTATATACACTCTTATTATTATTCATCATATTTTTTCATTTCTTTTATTTAAAAGTGTAATTATTATATTGAGTTATTTGATTCTTCTAATAATTAAACGAAATTGTTTTCTGTTATTTAAAATTTTTTTCTTTCATTGTCATATTTTTGTTATTTTAATTGTATTTCGTTTTCTTGTTCGTTAATTTTATCTTAGTATTCGTTTATTTTTTAGTTTAATTATTTTATTTATATTTCGTATTTGTAAGAAAGATCTTTTAATTATTAATTTTAGTCTTTGCCTAAATTTTTTATAGTAATTTATTAATCTTTGTCTTTCTTTAAATATTCTTCTATTTGTTTTTCATAATAATGTAATTTTTAATTTAATAAAGCCTATTTTTTTATTTATTTATTTTTTTAAAAAAATGTTTTAATTATAAAAAACCTTATCCTTTTCATATTCAGATTATTGTAAAACTTTAGTTCTTTCACATTCATTCAGTTCTTCTTGTAAAATCACGATTTTTTATTTTAATTCATTTAAATACTTTTAGTATTCATATTTCTCATTATTTATTTATTCTTTAATGTCATATTCTAATTTTTCTTTTTCGATTTTTAATTAAGTTAATTGATCTTTGTAGTTCTAAAAATTTCATTATATATAAATACATATATATATATATATATTTATATGAATTCAATAAAATATATATATTAAATATACTTATTCTTTTACAGCAAAATTAGTTTTTTCTTATTCCAATTAAGCAATTTTTTATTAAGAAATACTAGATTCATAATTAAGTTTATATTTAAGTTCTGTTGTTTCTGTTTCTAATTTTTTTTATATTTCATTTTTGAGTAGCTTTTAGATTTCATTTTCATGATTTTATAATTTAATGAAATAAAAAGCTCCTTCAATTCCCACTTTATAAAGAAATTCGTAAATAAACATAAGAAAATTAGGTGTTTTTGGTGCATTTTCAACATAATACTTAAGAAATAGTTTAAGATCTTATTAATATTCGAAAAAGCTTTAATAATCATTAACTTTCATTTTTTTTTCTATACTTTAAAATTCATTTAAAATAAAGTTATTACAATTTTTAGCACTTAATTTATCATTTTCACATTTAATATAAATTTATTTTACTTTGATTTTCTTTTTTACTTCCTAAATATAGTTTTCCGAAATTTCTCCCATTGAAATTTTTTTAAATTCTTCCAAAGCAATTTTTTTTGCAGATTTTAAAAAACTCTTTAATTCCTCATTTGTACACGGAAGTTTAGTATTACAAATTTCAGATTATAACTATTCATATATTTAAATGCTTTTTTATTAGGCTTTATAGCATTCATTTTGGCATATATAGGTCCATGCATTTTCTACATTAGGAATTACGCCATTATTTATTGAATTTACATAACTTCGTATTAATGTAGAGTACATTTCACCTGATAAAGGTATCTCTTTTAATTTTTTAGGACGAATTTATGTTAATATTTGTTTTCTTAATAATAAAATTTATTAATAGAATTCAGGACGAAGTTAGTTATATTATAATTTATCGAGATTTTGAAGATTTTCTTCATTTGTTAATGGACGGACGAGTGTAGCACAATTACGTTATTTAAAAAATGTCGATAATAATCTTCTTATTCTATTTTTTTATTCAACATTATCAGAAAATCCTTTCTATGGTTATAAGGCCATTTCTAAATATTCCTTTTTTTAAATAAACATATAATTAATATATATAATTTTCATAAAGAAAAAAAAAAATTCATTTCATTTCATTTTTATTTTATTTTAAAATAAAATAATAATAAATAATATAAATACTTAAGAAGTTATTTGTTCCCCTTCATTATTAATTAATTATAAAGAAAAATCTCTAACAACCCAAAAAAAGGAAGGCAAATATTAAGAATAATCTTCAAAATCGGCATCTTCATTTTGTCCACTTTTAACATGTATGTTTTTTGTTAAATTTACTATTAAAGAGAGATTTTGAATTGCAAGTTCATCTATTGAACCAATCGAGTTATAAATAAAACAAGAACTTAATAAAATGGTCAATGCAAATATACGAGAATCATGGGTTGAATCTTCATCTAAAGCTCCAATACCTTCTGAATCAATAATTAAAACATAAATTTTTTCTCCAATATCATTTTCAATAAATAATGGAGTTCCCCATATCCATAAACCCTTTTTTATTTAATAAATATTATATTTTTGTTTTTTTTGTTTACTTTTGTACAAGGATTAACAGTCGGACCTACTCCAAAACCATCAGAACGCTATAATAACATTTAATTTAGTAAATAACTTTTTCCTGTACGATACATTCCTGCTACTCCTATTATTCCTATGGGACCTGGTATTTATTATATATATTCTATTGCTTCATCATTTAATTAATAACCTTTTATTATTTTTAATTAAAGAATTTTCTTTGGATATTTTTATATAGTACATTAATCAGATGGATTATGTACTATTAATGGAATTGCTTCTTATTTATATGCTTCGTTTTTTAAAAATTACATTTTTAATAACTTAATTAATGTATTTTTTTAAAAAATATAATAAAAATTATAAAATTAATAGATTTTTATTTTAAAAAACAAAATAATTAAATATAAAAATTGATGAAATATAATAATAAAAATAAAGTATTATTAAATTATTTTTTAAAAAATTGATTATTAAATATTTAATTGTATTAACTATTTTATTTTATTTAAATTAAAAAATACGAATAGGAATTCAATTATAAAATTAATTTAAATTATTTAAAAAAATAAAACTAAAACAAATAAATTTGAAATATATAAATTTTTGTTATAATTTATTATAATTATATTAAAAAATTAAAAAAAACTAGCACTTTTTAAATAAATAAAAAAGAAACAAACAAAACTAATCATTATCCAACATTTTAAATCTATAAAAAATACTTTAATAAATCAATAAAACATTAAATTTCTTTATCTCTTATATAATAATGTGTCATAACTCTAAAAATCCCATCTCCGTTTTACCCAAGCATTTTTATTCCATTTTATTCCATAAATCCTACTAATTATGTATTATCCACTCCTTATTTACAAACTTTGAAATAAACCATGTTAATTTCAACTTTTCTAATGACTCCTATTCCGTTTATTTTTACTAACTCCTCAGCCACTTTTAAGCAATTTAAATATCTAATTTCATAAATCTTCTCATATATTTTAGTCCTATAAGACCAGGAGCTGCCAAAATACCAGCCTGTCTCATTCCTCCTCCTAATAACTTTCTTACTAAAATACTTTTTTCAATGAAATCTTTTTTTCCAACTATCATTGAACCAATAGGGGCACATAATCCCTTACTTAAGCAAAATTGAATACTATCACAATATTATGTAATATCCTTTACTTCACAATTCAAAGCAGCGGCTGCGTGAAATACTCTTGCTCCATCAATATGGAGAGGAATTTTATATTTTTAAGCAACTGCATATATTTATTTAAGTGTCTCTAAAGGATAGACAAGTCCAGTAAAAGTAGGTTGTTCAAGTGTTATGAGTCCTGTAGAAGGCTCGGTTATAAAATCTAGTTTTCGAATAACTTTTTCGATACTTTCTGGTGTTAATAACCCTTTTGTATGTTCAGTACTTATAGTTCTGGATTATAACTATGCAATTTATGATACAAAAGATCTTTCTTATTATATAATATGACATTCGTCTGAACATATTAACTCCTAACCTCTTTATGTATGACACATTAGTGCACAAGAATTTCCCATACAACCTGAAGGAACTAATAATGCAGCCTCTTTATAAAATAAATTAGCTGCAAAATTTTGTAATTTTTATACTGTAGGATCATCTCGGAATACATCATCTCCCAAAATTGCTTTTTGGATACTTTTTAGCATTTTTTTTGTTGGAAGAGTTACAGTGTCACTTCGGAGATCGATATTTTAATATTAATTTATTTTTTATTATTTTCGAATATTTTTTTTGGTTTTTTGGACTTTTCTAAGTTTTACACTTTGGTTTTCACAAGTCGAGGGAAATGATCTTGTGTTTAATGAAGCTAAATGTATAAGTGAGGTTGATTGTTGATCGAATATATCTTTTTCAGAATTTATTAGGGAATATGAAGTTTCTTAAGTGTAGTTGCAGTTATTATGTTATTATTATTATTATTGCATTTATTCGTTTGCTTTATTTTTTAATCTTTTATTATATTTAGATTGTTACTTTTTTATTTATTATTTATTTATTTTAATAATTTGTTCTTTTTTTTTGTGTTGAATCCGCCCTTTTATTTAATTCGAATTTTTGATGTCAAATTTTATATAAATAAAATTTATATAAATATATATAATATTATTGATTTTATTTTTATATATATATAATTTGTTAATTTTTTATTTTTAATTTTTATTTAATTTACTTTTACTGCTTTCTTTCTTTTTTGCATCATTTTTATAATTTTTGATGTTATTAAATTATTTTTATGACGTTAAATTTGGAATATTGACATTCTTTTTTTTAACTTATATAATAAATAAGTAGTAAAAAGAAAATATTAATAAATTATAAAATAAATTAAATAAAATTAAATATTTAAGTTTAGGTATAGGTATAAAATGATTATTAAATTTATCAAAAAGGCCATATTACATTTTTTCTCGAATTTTTATTTTTTTGATTAAGTTTTAAAAAAATTTTATAGAAACAGAAAAAAAGATAATAATATTAAAAAGTAATAAATACATTATTATATATTTGTATTTTAAATTCTCATTAACTAATAAAAATATAATTATCAAAATAATTATATTTATAAATTAAATTTATAAAATAAAAATTAATTATATCAATTATATATATATATATATATATATATATATTTTTTTTTTTTCCTTAAATAAATTTAAATATGAAATTAAAAAAAATTTATTTTTATTATTTAATTATATTTGTATATAAAATTAATAAATAAAATTAATTATTAAAATTTAATAATAAACAAAATAATTAATATCGTATATATTTTATGTTAAATTCATTATTATTTATCTTTTAAAAATATTTTTCCGTTTTCCTCATCATAAAAAAATTATTGTATTTATTCTAAATTTTATTATAAATATTATTAAATATTATTTTCACAAAATGATTTTAAATTAATATAAAAATTATTTTTTTGATTCTCGGCTATTTATTAATTAAGATATTAAAAAGTATTATTTTTAAAGCTTTCGAAAAGTTCGTTTTGATAATTTCCAACAAGTAAATGAGAAATATTTACAAATTTTTATTTATCAAATTTATTTTAGATAATAATTGATTTATAATCTTTTAATTGAATTCTTTTTCTTTCACGGAAATCTTAGTATAAATAATCTAAACTTTCATAAAAGTATTAACATAGACTTTCTTTATTATTTAATTTTAAATTATAATAATTATGGATAAGAATGACTTCTTTAATCTATAATTATTTTTCGTTTTAGATTCTTTTTATTATGTAATTAAATATATTTTATTCATTAAGACCTAATTAATTTATTACTAATATTAATTTTTAACTATTTTAAATAAAAAAATCAATCCAAAAATTATTAATTTATTCTGCATTTGATTAACTCTATTAATCATTATAATTTTTTATTGGATTTCCTATATTGTATTTTACAAATGCATTTTTTTCGAATTTTAGTATATTTAATTTAGGTGAAAAACATCCTTCAGTTGAATTTTCTTAATTATTTATTATTTTAGATTTGAGTAAAGTATTTATTATTGTTGTTTTTCCAGAACAAGGAGTTCCTATAATAGCATAAAAATCTTATAAATATTAAAATTTATTATCAGTTTATATACTTTTTATTTCCCACCCTTCATTAATTAATTTATTAAAATTTCCAAAACAATTAATTTGAAATGTCCAATAACAAGTAATATTAATAGAACTAAATTCATATATAGCTATTTTTTTTTAAAAAAAATAATAATTAAAAAAAAAAAATTATTTAACTTTCATTACTATTAACTAACTAAGAATTTTATATTTAATTATTATTATTTAAAGTTTTTGAGTTATTTAATTTTAATTCTTATATTTATTAATTTTAGAGGTCAATAATTTATTTTAATTCTTCGATTTTAATTTCATTTTAATTATTAATATTATTAATAGTCAACATTTGCTATTATAAAGTTTTTTATTATTCCTAATTTAATTGATTTTCTATATTACTTAGGTTTTCTTATTATTAAAATGGTTTTTATATAGAAGTATTATCTGTAGTATGATTAATATATTATTAAGATAAAGTTATATTGTTTTTATGAATATTTTCTTGAAAAGGAAAGTTAATTTTATTTTATAATTATTAAAAACAATTAAGTATTTCTAAATTTTATTAAATTACTATTTTTTGATAATCAATTTATTTTTCTTTGGTTGAATGATTTTATTTTAATATTTATTTTTATGATTCTTATATTTAAATAATTAGCTTATCAAATAAATTTTATATTAATTATTGTGTTTAGTCTTTTATTAATTTTTATTAATCTATGAGATTTTTTTATTATATTTTAAGTATATTTTGTTTGTTTTTTTAATTTATTTATTCTATTTATTTAAAAAATTTTTTTTTTATTTAATTTTTTTAATCTTCATTTTTAATATTTATTTCATTAATTTTTTATTCAAATTATTCAATTTTTTCATTTAATTTTTATATTTATAAATCAAGTTCTTATATTTTTTATTTCAGAATTTAATTATCTTCCAAAAAACTATTTTAATTTTAATCATCTTCCTTTTTTTGCAAAATACTTGTTACATATTCGACTTCCTTATTTTATATTTAATCTTTTTAAAAATTATTATGTAGCAGTTTCTAATATTTATTAGTTAGTTTATGAATCTCCTATATAGAGTTTTAATTAGATTTTAATTTTTGTGGATATTTTTAGAAGTTTTATTTTTTATATTGTAATTCTTATACTTAAAATATTATGCTTTATTTTAAGTTTTTACTCTTTTCGAATAGATTTTGAGTAGAGTTTTTCAAAAAGCTGTTTTGTTTTGGAATATGAGATGTGTTTTAGGTATTTTTAGATGAATTTGAGTTGTTTGTAAATCCTCTTTCTGTCGATTAACTTAAAAATCTACTGATGCTTTTTTGATTACTAAAAAAATTATCATAATTTATTCTTTCTCTTATTCTTTATGAACTTAAATTTCTTTCAAGCATTTATTATTAATGTAAAGATTCTAATAGTGTTTTTTTAATTTTTTGATGTTTAAAAATTAAACTAAAATATTAATAATTTTTATTATTTTATTAAAATTTTAATAATTTTTATTAAAATTTTATTTATGATTAAAATTTATTAATTTTTCATTAGTAAATTAATACTAATATAGTCTTTTTTTCTTTTACATTTATATAAAAATAATTAATTGTTTCAATTTTTTTGTTTTGCTTTAATAATAAAACATATATTAATAGTCTCTAATATTCATATTTTGTTTTGTGAGTAATGTTTTTTATTAATAATAATTAAAAAAATTAATTTTGATTTAATTAAAATAACTATTTCTTTATAAGTTATTAAAATATACAAAAATTTAAAAGGTAGTGTGATATTTTTTTTATAAATTGAAAAAAGAGAAAAAAAAAAATTAATAATATTTTAAAATATAAATATATAATTTACATTAATTTATATTAATATATACAATTTTTTTGTTTTAAATATTTATATTTGTATTTATATCAGTTATTATTTATAGCAACTTAAGTTTTTTCAATCATAACTAAGGTATATAATAAAGTAGAATATTTAGAAATATATTTTTAATTAAGGGTAGGAAACATATTTTAGAATTAATAAAAGAATGGGCTATTTTCTGAAAAATCTTCCTATTTCTCAAAAGCTGAAAGTGCTAATTTATAAGCTTTTGAAAAATGCATAGTTCCTATTTCTTTTTCTAAATATTTTTTAAGATTCTAAAAATAAAAAAAAAAAAAAAATAATTCTTTAAAAAAAAAAAAAACTTTTAAAAACATATTTACTTATATTCGTTTTTATGATACTTTTTATGAAGAAATAATTTATTAAATTTATTAATTAGTATATTATTTTTGAGATAATTAATTTTAATTGGTATTAATATTTAGTTAATTATTATTAATTGAACTTTTATTTTATTATATATCATTATTATTTTATTAATTATTATTATTATATATTTTCTCGTCATTAATAATATCTTATTTTATGTTTTACTTTTAATAATCTTATATGATATTTATTTCTTCATCATCATCAAGATAATCTTCTTTATCCTAAATTTAATCTAAACTTAGTTTTGATTTTTCTATATTTAAATTAAAAAGTTAACTTTAATAATTTCCAGAAATCTATTTTTGTTTATTATATTTTTAATATGATTTATTATTTTTTATATATAAATACCATTTCATTGAATTCAATTAACATTCTTTTAACATCTTTGACTTCTTTTTCTATGTTATTATTTATATTATATTAGATTATTTTTTGATTTGAATTCTTGATATTGTCAATATTATTGTTACTTATATGCTTTTTTGTTTTTATTTATATAATTTTTTATTATTTTAATTCATCAAAAGGTATTTTATAAATAATTTTTCTTTTTTATTTTTATTCATTGTCTGAATTTGATTTTTATTGTGTTTGCAAATTATTATCATTTTTTATAGTTTATTATTTTTGCTTACAATAGAAACTGTCTACTGATTATATTCCATCTGCTTATATAAAATTTGTGTTTTCATAAATAGAAATTTATGTATTATTATTATTATTATTATTATTATTATTATTATTATTATTATTATTATTTTTAGTAATATTATTTAATATTTCTTAATTATCATTATAAAGATTTTATTAAGAAGAATTTGCAATAAATTAAATATTTTAAGCCTTGAAATAATCCTAACATTATGCCTATTAAAATATTATAAAATTAGAAATATTTTCTTTAGAATTATTTTTAATTAATTATGTTTTAATATCATCTGAACTATTTTAAGAAATACTATAACTAACTGTTAAATGAACTGAAGAATTTTTTTATTTTTTATTAAAATTATTATTTACTACATTAATTATTGTTTTTTCATAATTAGAAATTAAAGTATTATTTACTTCGAAAAAATTATTATATCTATTAAGTTCGTCTTTTTTTTCTTAATTTATCTATATTTTTGTGGTTATTTGTTTTTATTAATTATTACTATTTATATTTTCGTTTAAATTATTATTAATTTTTACATTTTATTAAATTATATTTAATAATTAATTTTTGCTTCCTCCTATTTTGCTACAGGCAGTAGGTAGTCTTTACTTTATTTAGTATTATTTTATATCTTAATTGCTTTTATTTTTATTTATAATTGGAGATTAATTTTTTTATAAATTCATTTTTTTTAATACTTGTATTTGATTTCCTTAAATTAAATTTTGAATATTTCCTTAAAGTTTACTTTATCCTTCATTGAATAATTTATTTTTATCCAAAGGAGGAATAATAGGTTGAGGAGGTTAAAAATTTAATTAAGGAAGACGTGTATTAGGGCTCCCTATTCTCACATTATTATTAGGACGAACAAAAGGCGGTGTTTATTATTACAAAACGAAATTATTTACAGGGTTTATTTTTTCAAGTGCGTTTTTTTTTTTTTCGAAATTAAAAGGAGGGGAAGGTTATTATTCGTTTTCTTTTTTATTAATAATGAAAAATTAATCATTGAAATTATCTAAAGGAGGGTCTTTATTTCTTTCTTCATTTTTTAAATTTCCACCTATTATATTTACTGGAGATTAAATTCTATATAATTTTTTATTTTCAGTGTTTTTTATATTTTTTTTTAGTTGTTGTTTTCTTGAATATTTATAATTAATTCAGGTAATTTTTTCTCTATTTAATTATTGTTATTAACTTCTTTTGATATCATTTCTTTCATCAAAGCCTGCGTTTCTTGTAAAAAAGCTATGCTCCTTTTTTTTATTATTGGTTTTTATAAAATCTATTATGCGCTTAATCTTTTATCTGGGTCAATTGTTAACATTTCAGATATTATCTATTTTAATTCTTTTGAATATTAACCAGGTATTGGGTTATAAACCCCTTTTATAATTTTAAGTACCAGAGCATGCATATTTCCCGCATCAAAAGGCTGCTTTAAAGCACAAAGTTCGTATATAAGGACCCCCAAAGACCAAATATCAACCTTAGTAGTATAGGGTTTGTTTTGGATTAATTCAGGGGCTAAATAATAGGGTGTACCTATAAAGGTTTTTGCTTTATCACGTGTACATGATAGTATTTTTGCAATACCAAAATCAGCAAGTTTAATAATTTTATTTTAAGTAAGGAAAATATTTTATGATTTAATATCTCTATGGATAATATTTTTGGAATGAACTAAATTTAATGCACAGCAAATTTAAGTTAACCAATCTATAATTTACTCTTCTTTTATAATTTATTATTTTTAGATTATTTGAGATAAATCTCCACCCTCAGCATAATCCATTACTATACATAATTTATTTTTTTTAGTCTTAAATTATTCGTGGTATTTTATTATATTATGATGATTTAATATTTATAATATGTTTGCCTCGTTTATTGCATCGCATTTCTCTTAGTCGGTCATATGGGAAATATCAATTTATTTTATTACACATAATTAATTATCGATTATACGTTCGACTAAATATGCTTTGCCATAAGAACCTTCACCAAGTAGTTTTATTTTTTTGTAGTCTTTTTTATCCATTGTATTAGGAGGTTTCTTTTTTTTATTTTGGATATTAGATTTTTTAGTTTTTTTTTTATCTTTAAAAAAGCAATATGATGTTTTTTTTCTTTTTTATATTATTGTGTTGTGATTAAATATAAATTATAATAATTTTTTTTATAATTAATTATGATTAATATAATATAATATTTTTATATATTATATATATTAATTATTTATTCCTTTTTATTTATTTGAGGAGATTAACAAGTATATTTTTTAATTTTTTTATGAATCAAAAACATATTTTTTATATTATAATTAAATATATAAAATTATAAAAAACAATCATGTATTTATTTTAATGAATATATTAATTTATGATTATTTAAGACCATTTTATTTATATTATAGATTTAAACTTTTAAATATTAATATTATAAATATAATTAAATTTATTTATTACATGTAAAAAATAAAATGATTTCTATTATTAAATAAATTTACGAAATTTATAATAATTTTATAAAAATATAATTTATTTTACTACTTTTTTTATAAACATTGATATTTAACTATATTTATAATAATAATGATATAATTTAATTTTTTTATAAATTAAATAATATTGTATTATTCTTTTATAAAAATAATAATTGTAAAAAAAAAAACTATTAAAAATTTGAATCCAATGTTATGATATAAATATAATAATTACAATTATAGAAAAAGAAAAAAAAATACAGTTTTATATATTAAAATAAAAAACTTAAAAAGATAAAAATAATAATTATTTATAATTTAATATATTTTTATATATTGATTAATATTAATAAACACTTCATAATTAATTAAAATCTTAAATATAAATTAATTTAATAAATAATTTATATTTTTATTTTCTATATTCACAAATAATAATTAAAACATAAAAATATCTTTAAAAAATAAAAAATCAGCTAATCATCTTAATTAATAATAAAATTAAGAAAGTAAACTATAAGTTTAATTTTCATTTTCTTTTTTTTGAAAATCAGTAAAACAATCCCAAAATTTAATAAATCCATCATTAGCCGAGGTAACTATTTCTTCGTTTTTACTATTAATTGTAGAATATAAAACTCTTCCCTAATGTCCTTCCGTTTCGCTAATTTTTTCGATTTTTTATGTTTTTTTTTCTTACCAAACCATAACTTTATTACTAGGAAATCCAAAAGTACATAAAAAAAAGCCTGGATAATTATTTTTCGAGCAAACAATATTACATATTTAAGCCCCAGTATTGACAACTTATAAATTTTCCCCACTAAAAGAATCCCAAAGTCTTAAAGTGCCATCAAACTTTCCTCCGCCAGTAATAAAATGGCTATGTTTTAAACTACTCCAACTTAACCCTTTAACACCTGCTTTATGTTAACTCAATTTGTGAATAGGCCTTTGTTAATTAAATTTATTCCAAACAAAAACCTTATTATCATTTCCCCCGGAAAGTAAATAATTAGAATCGAAACTCCAGGCTAAACTACATACTTCCCTTTAATGACCTCCGCTTTCGAAAGATTAACAAATAGATTGTTTTTATCTCACGTCTAAATTATAAATACTTCTTTGTTTTCCTGCTGCTGTTAATACGAATGCATTTTACCAGGCTAATACGCCAACTCTTTTTCCTTATTTTTGTAATGTAGATATCGCTTGGAGCTTGTTTAAGTCCCAAAGCTAAACAATTCCTTTACTGTCTGATATGGCTAATTGGTTTTCATTATATTCATGAAATTTTAAGCAACTAACGTATTCGGTTGATTTACATATGTTTATTGATTTTATACTTTTTTATTTTTATTTTTTTTTAAGATTTTTTTTTATTATTTACTCTTTAGATGATGTGTTATATAGATATACTTTCTAATTAACTGATATTGAAAGAGTTTTTTAATTGTTATAACTTATTAAGTTGAGATAAAAATCGTCACGTAAAGGCGGTGTTTCCAGAATTTGAGAAGGGACTAGATCAAATTTTTTTTAATCTTTCTTTTATGATTAAAGATCTGGTTATGAATCTTTGAAATATTATTATTAATATTTGGTTTAGGGTTATACTATTTGTTTTCCGAAGTTTAGTATTTTGAGAGGATTTTTAGATTCTTAGCTGTATGGGTTAAACTCAATTTAATAAAAGTTTTAATGAATTATTCTAGGTATAAATCTATCGTAATTTTATCGTTTGTTTATTTATTGCATTTTTATTTTTAATCACTTTTTAATTTTTTTGTTTTAATTATTATGTTTTTATTTTTATTATTAATATATATATATATATATGTTAATTGATATAATTAAAAGTATATTAAATTTATAAAAATTTTTTTAGCATGCTATATTTTGGATCTTTTTAAAACTATTTTTATTTGAATATAATTAAATTTATATACAATATTGAGTAATTAAAATTATTCTGTATCTTAATCATCATTGATAATTATAAAAATAATATTTTAAAAGTATAAAAAAGCTTGAATTACTTTAATTAACTTTAATATTTTTTAAATATCATATAGTATGATTATAAAACTTTCTTATATATATTAAAAATTTAATATATTAATTAAAAAAATTTAATAAAATATATATAAAATAAAATATATCTTATATAAATGTTTAAGATAAAAATTTAATAACTATTTTAATATTAATAAAAATGTATAGTATTATTATAATAAAATTGATTATTTTATATATAGTATTTGATTATTTATTTTATATGTTATATGACTATTATTTGTTGATTATGTATTAAAAAACAAAGCATTTATATATAAAATATTATTATAAAATTTATTTATAAAAAATAAGTATAATATCATATAAAAAATAATAATAATATAATACAAAAAATATAGAAAATTTCATTAAAAATCCAAATAAATAAAAATGAATTATATAAATCAAGAAGATTAATACTCATAAAATTCATAAATAAATAAATAAACAATACATAAAATTAATTTCATAGAAAAAATATCAAAAGATTAAAGCTTAAGCTATTTTGACGGAGATGAATTACACGAATAATTATTATCCTAGAAATAAATAAAAAAAAAATGTCCATCATGTTTGTGTTATTAAAAAAAGAAAAAAAATGTAAACGAATGGCTTTATCATTTTAAGCTTTTAATAAAAACAAATAGATTTAAGAATTAGGAATGGTCTGCTTATATATTTAATTTAATAAATTAACAATATTAAAATACTCCTGAAAACATAAAAGATATAGAAGAATTACATTAAAATGCAAGGTTTACATTAGATAAAATATAAATTTAAAATAATAATAGTAATAATAATAATAATAATAACAATAACCATTCAATAAATAAAAATAGTGAAATATGTTTTTAAAAAGATGGAAATAAACAGAATAATTAAAATGTTTAAAATTAATCTATATCTTCAAATAATAATGCGATTAATAAAAAAGTAATTGCAAAAGATTAAAAAAAAAAAAAAAATTGTAATTCATGTTCTTCTTCCTCTTCTTTTAGCCTGCCTTAATATTTAGAAAAATCTTAGTAAATTTTGGTAAACTCTTCTATTTTAAATGAAAAAATAAGCAATATACATGAAACCATTATAGGTGATACAATAGAATATTTGGTAAAAAATAAATCATAAAATATATCAATGAAAAGTACTAAAAAATAAAAAATAAAAAAGAAATTATTATAATAATAAAAAGAAGATGAAAAAATATAGTTTTTTAATGCAAATACTTTGTTAATAAATAGTGAGAATTTAAAAAAATGTAATTATGAATTATTTTAAGCTGCTATTTATTATAAATCAATTACTTTATTAATCGAAAATCATTTATAAGAAGAAAATAATTACGAATAATAAAAGCCTTTGAGAGTTATAAAAGATAATTTTGTTTAGTATTATATAAATGAATATGGTAAATGTATTTAAAAAATAAAATAAAATTAATTGAAATAAATAATAAGTAATTTAAAAGAATTTGTTATTTTATATATTGAACTTATTCGAGAATATTATAAATTAGATGATTTAATTTGTTAATGTAAATATGCCGAAGAATTTATTACATATGAAAATTTAATTAATTTTTTATGTTCGATTTTGTTTAAAGATGATTATATTTATTCTATTATTTATGTTTCTCATTCTATTTATGAAAAAGATTTAGCCAATTAATTTTTTATTGTAGTTTCTTAATTGAATAAAATTAATATTAAACCAAATTTTCTTAATATATCTGAGAAATTTTGTCTAATAAATTAAGTAATTTTTTGTTTTTATCCATAATTTTTATTCATTTTAATAGGAATTTCCTTATTAATAAGCTTATTTATAACTTGAATAAATTAAATTTTAAAGAAGCCCTGTCCATAAGTTAAAAATAATCGTTAAAACATAAGATGCTATTAATTAATGTATAAAAGATTATTATTAAGATGAAATATTTTATGATGCAGATGAACTTATTGGTATTTTTTCATTTGTTATCATAAAAAGTTCAATTTATGATATTATTACCCATTGCAAAATTATTGAAAACTTTACTACTAAGGATACTTTAAATAGTATATCTGGCTATTTATTAATAACAATAATGTCTTGTGTAAATTATATTTCTTAAATATAAATTTAATGATTATTTTAATTAATTTTTTAAAAATATTAGTATTATTAAATATAATTTATAAATATATATATATATATATATATATATATATATATATATATATATATATTTATAATAATTTTTTAATAATTGCTTTATAATATTTTTTATTAAGTTTATTCAATTTTCAAATTAATATATATATTTAATCATTATTTAATTTAATATGCTAATATTATATATTATTTAAATTTAATAATTTTTTTTTGATATAAAAGCAAACATTGTTTTAATATAATTATTTTAAATTTAAATCAATTATTTTTTTTACAAAATATTTAATGATCCAGTTATTGAAAATAAAAAAGAAAATTCTACTAAAATAAACATAATTCATATTTTATATAATAATAAAAAATCCGCTAACATATATTAATATTATCTTAAAATTAAAATAAAATTATTAATTTATAAACCAATAAAGTTTTTATTTTACATAAATGAAAAAATAACTTTGATTTGTTAATTCATTCAAAATAGGAATTAACTTGATTTTTAAGATAGATTAATGCAAGATTTTCTATTTTTTTATATTATTTAATGATATTTCTTATTCTTATTTGTTTAAAAATAAAATTATATTAAATATTGGTATTTTTAAAAACACAATCTAAAAAAAGGTGATAAAAATGGATTATGTATAACCTTTTTTTAATTTGAGATTTTTAAAAAATGAATAATAGAAAATATAAACGTTCTAAAAATATAATATAATTTACTTGATTTTTTTAAATTATACATAATAGTTATTTTATATTTCATTAATGTACATATATTTAGCATTTATTTCGTTATAAAAATAATAAAAAAATGAATTTAATAAGATTATATATATATATATATATATATATATATATATATATATATATTTATATATATATTTATATTTATTTATATGAATATATTTATGTAACTCTTTTTGTGATATTTTTTCTTATGTTATTTATAGTATTGATACTGTATATTATTATATTGATAATGAATAGTTTAGTAAAAATATGTATAATGTAAAATAACGATATCGATATTTAACTAAGAATCGAAATATATATAAATTATGTCGTAGAGAAACAATAAAAATACAATAGACAATAAATCTTTAGTTGACAAAAAAAGCATTTCTCTATAAAATGGTCCTATAATGGAATAATTTTTTATTAATACGTGTATTTAATTGAATAATTTTGTTTTATATATGACTCTTATTTTATAAGAAGAAACTCTTTTTTCCTGATGAGATTATATATAGATATAATAGTTATTATGACTAAGCTTTAATTTTATTAAATTCTTTAGAAGTTTTTTGTTATTATATAATATTTTATTTTTTTTATAAAAATTAAAAAAAGGATTAATTGATTTTTTTTTCGATTAAAAAAAAAAGATGTCTTTATGTAAAAGTACTAAATTTTCAAAAATTTGTATTTAAAAAAGAAAAAATTAATTTTATAATATTATTATTATAATTGAATGTGTAATATCTTTTTTGTAAAAAATTAGGAAATTTAATTACTTAATGCAAATATTTAGAAAGCTTTAAATGAGGTATTCTATTCTTAAATAAATGAAAAATAATTTTTTGTTGAATAAAATTAATATTAAAAGGAAATAAAGATACTAGACACAATTTTTAAAAACATAAACTGCTAATTATAAAAAAAAACCTTTATAATGAAATCTGATTTAATAATATATTTAAATAATATTAATGCTAATATTAGTTTAAAAAAAACCATAAATCTGCAATTTAAATGACTTTTATGAAGATGATTATTATTACAATCTACTCAATCTCGATATATAAATAAAAAAACCTTTAATATTATTTCATTCTGAAAAATCTAAAATAAAATTTTAATGAAGATATTATCTAATAATAATATTACAGAAATAAATACAAAAATATAAATACTTATATATTACTAATAGTTTATTTATTATTTATTCATATTATTTTTTTATTTTATATTTAATTTTAATTTTTTTGTTACAAAAATATAAAAAACAATAGGAAGTAGCATTATTAAGTTTTAATAAAAACTATTTATATAAAATAAAATATTTTATAGTAATTTATATTATGTTTAATAAACTTTGAAATACTATAATAAAATGATTTTTATTAAATATATTTTAAGAAAATAAAATTATATTACGGTCATATTTTTAGTTAAAACTCAATATGAAAAAATAAAATAAAAATTTATAAAAAGACTATTTTTTGGTATATATTTTATAAAATTTTAAATTAATTAAATATATAAAATTTATTCATAAATATAATTTAAATAAATATTATTTTATAAATAATAAGAACTTTATTTTTATATTTAGAATTTTTTAAATAATAATATATAAAAATATTTGTATATTAATTATTATAAATATATACTGATTAATAAATAAAAATTATAAAATTATTTCTTACTTATTTTTTAATAAATTTGATGTAGAAATATATTTTGTATTAATATAAAAAAAATAAAATATTTAATTTATCATATATATAATATTTCTATATTTATATACTATAACTAAAAGAAAAAATATAATTTTGGTAAAATATATTTATATTTTATGAAAATAATATATATAAAATAATATTGACTAAAAAATTAAATTATATTTATTTAAAAATAAATTTTATTGCATATAATAAAATAAAAAAAAGATATTAATATTTATTTTATATACATTATAAAATTTAAATATTATAATTAAAAAAATAATTAAAATAATTTAATAAAAATGCGATTATAAATAATAAATTTTTAGAATATTTAATAATAATAAATAATTAGAAAAATATAATCAATTTACAATTTTATAAACTTTTATAAATATATAAATTATAATTTATTTTTATAAATTAAAAAAATTAAATAAAAAAAAAATGAATTAGTAAAAAAAGATAAAAGTAATTAAATCAATAAAGCAATTTGAAAACTAAATATAATAAAATTCTTTAGTGAACTCAGATTTTTAAAATCTACAAAATCAATAATTAATAAAAAAGTAAAAGACTTAGTAATAATAATAATAATAATAATAATAATAATAATAATAATAATAAATATAATAGAAATAGTAAAATTTATTATAATAATAACTTTAATAAAAGTAAAAAATTTTATAATAATAAGTATAATAAAGTCATTAAAAACAGTAATAATAAGTTCATTAAATAAATTTATAGAAATAATAAATAATCAAAAATAATTCCATTCTTTTTAGCAATTAATAATAATTGCAAAAGAAAGTTATTACTCACGATGATTAAAAAAAAAAAGAATAGATAAATTAATCTTAAGCACTTCAATATGACAATGAATCTTAATTGAGTAGTCTAAAAAGAAAAAACGATTTAAGTTCATAGATGATAGAAGTAAATTCTTCTTAAGATAATCTTTAATAACGAAAAGTTTAATAATAATAATTGAAATTAGGTGATTTCGATTTAGGAAATACAGCTGTTAAAATAGAACCTTATAATTTATAAGAAGCTTTTTACTGGGTTTATTGGAAAGAAGAATAAGATTATTAACCTTAAAAATCTGTTTAGAAGTATTTTTTATATATTTTTTTTTTATATTTATATTTATTTAATTAGGCTAAGTAAAATAAAAGAAAACGCTCCTGAGTTGTATTTTTATCATCTTTAAGAATATTTTTTTAATAAAAAGAAGAAATTTTATTCTACCGAAGATATTGAAAATATAACTTAAAGAAAATTAAAGCATATTTCTTTTGTTAAATCTAATAAAAGAATAGAAAAGCATATTTTTTAAAATAAAAACACATCAGGTTAATAAGATAAAATGATTTATGATAATTCTAGTGATTCTTATTTTAATTAAGAAAAGTATAATTTTGAAAAATAGAATTACTATTAATCAGAAAAAAATATAAGTATTTAATAAATGTGAAAAAAAAAAAAAATTATAAATAAAGAAATAATAAATATATTATTATATAAATATTTTATAAAATATATATATGTTTTTTTTTCTTTTTAATATTTATTTTATGATTTTGAATTTAATTATATTAAAAAATAAAATATATATATTTTGTTTTAAAAATATATTTATAATTTAAAGACATTATTTTAAAATAAATACTGATTTACTATATTATCAAATTTAAAAAGAAAACAATAAAATAATATATAAATTAATTTGTTATTAAATAAAAAGTAAACATAAAAAAATGCAATAAAAATATTAACAGCTATAAATACTTCCAATAAGTTATTAAAGCGATTAAAAATAATAAATGCTTCACTAACATTAAGAATTAATATAAAATTTATAATAATAAAATTAATTCCAATAGTAATAAATACTTAATGTTCGATAATAATTTAATTCAACATTAAATAATCCTATATAACTTAATAATAAATAATATGCAATATAATAAGGATAATAAAGTAATTATGTAAATGATAATTTCAAATAGGCAAATAATACAATGTTATTTCCTCAAAAAATTGATTCTTCTTATTAGCCTACTAAAGAGAATATTAATTAAAATAAAATCGATTTTAAAAGGGAAGAATTTTATTAAAATTAATAAAATATAATTAATAATAATATCAAAGATAATAATAATAAAGTATAAATTGAATAAAATGTTGAAAAAATAGATGCTTATGCAAAATTTGATAATTAATAACTTTAAAGAAAAATTAGTTAAATAAATAAAATAATTATTTTTTATAAAAAAAAAAAAAATATTTTTTATTTTTATTTACAAATAAAAAAAGGTTAACTATAAATAGTTGTAAATGAATAATAAAAAACAATATAATAATTATAAGATGATTAAATGAAATTAATGGATTTATGTGATAAAAAAGATATAGAAATAGAAGATTTAACAATATAATAAGCAGAAAATCAAAGCTAAATATAATTATTTAAATAAAACTATAATTAATTAAGTAAAGAATTCCAAAAAATGTAACAAAGACTATAATATTAAGAAGATTCAAAAGAAGAATTATAAATACAAATATAAAAAAATGCAAATTTTGAATAAAGAAACAATTATTTAAACCATGAATTATAATAATTAAGATAAACAATAGAAAATCTTCAAGTTTAATTAAAAAGTTTTCAAAGTTATTCTTCAAAAGCTTAATAATTAAAATAAACTGAAAACGAAATGAATTAGATGAAAAGTTATATAGACAATCTAGAATAAAAATTGGTTGAAAAAAACGAGGAACTTTTCGCAACTTAAAAAAGAGCCGAAATTAATTTCCCGAATGTTATTTGTGAATTAGAAGATAAAATAAAATATTTAGCGACAGAAAATGACAGGCTTAATAAAATTCTAATTGAAAGATGTGTTGATATGAGATAAAATTGGTGATTTTTGTTAGTTAATTTTGGTTATATTATTTTATTTATTTTTTTAGATAAACTTTTTACTTTTTTTTTTTTTTTTAATTAAATCTTTTTTATATGTATTTATATATTTTTATTAATAATAATATAAAATTTAATGGGTTATGTATATTATTATTTCAAATTTTTTATATTTTTATATTAATACATTTATTTTTTAATGAAAAATTGAAATATTAATAATTCGTTTATAATAATTCATATTAATAAATAATATATATTTTTTTTATTTTAAATAAAGATTTAATATATTATATCTATTAAATTTTTTTTTACTTTTTAACTGAATAAAATATATTATAGCTTTTTATAAGGACGAAATATCTATAAAACATAAAAATAATTTAGCATTTATAATAAAAATATAATATTATATATATATGTATAAATTTTAGAATAAATTAAAATAGTGAAGAGGCTTTACAAATAAAAAAAAGGAGATAATATTTTATAAGCTGTTTAAAAATTTGCTATATTAGATTCTCTTATATATAATATAAAAAGTTCACATATATAAAATAGTTACATAAGCAATTAATTATATAAATAATAAAATAGGGTATATAATATTTTTTAAAACAAAACTGAACAATAATAAAAAAAAAGCTTTAAGAATAATCTTGATAGAAATATTATTTGTAATAAAACATAAAATATTAATAAAATAAAAATAATAATAAAATAATGGAATAATAGTGATAATTAAAATATAAAATAATATTATTATAAAAATTTACATTTGAAAAAAAAAAATATACTTACTCCATATAAAAAAAAGAAAGAAGATATATTTTTAAGATTAGATAATTATAAATTTTAATTTATTTCTTTCGATATATTAATAAAACTTCTGTAATTAAAAAACTAAAATATCGATTAGTGAGAATTAAAGATTATTTAATTTTAATATAATAAAAATTATTTTGAAAAAAAAAAAACACTAAAGATAGTTATAATTTTTTAAAAAAAAAATTAATATTAAATTCTTTGTCATAAATATGTAGAATAATATCATATATATCTATATGAATATTTATTTATATATATATATATATATATATAAATATATATATATATATATATATAAATAATAATTAATAATTTTTTTTTTTTTTATATTCAATTAAATTTTTTTTGTTTTATGTATTTTTTAAATTAATACTAAAGTTATTTCTATAATAAAAAATAATAAAAAATATTATTTATAATATTAAAAATTTTAATATAAGATAATAATATTTTTTTCTTATTAAATTCTACTCTATGTCCTTTAATCAATTTTTCTTTTTAGATTTATGAATTTTCTAAACCTCCAATTTACTTTTAGAAGCTGAAAATATTTTATTTTCTGAGTTAAACTTGAATTCTGCACATTAAATAATTTCATCTGATCTAGTAATCTAATAAAATTAAATAAAATAAAAAAAAAAAAAATAACTTCATAACAATCTTTAACACCTTTAATGATTTTCTAGAAATCCCAAACAACTGTAAAGTTTCCAATAGAAGTAACAATAAATCTTTCCAAAGAATTAATTGAATCATCGAATTTAGCAGATGTGAATCCTATTTAATTAACCATTAAAGCTTTAAGATCTTCCTAATTAAGAGTTAGTTTTTTAGGAATTCTTCTATCTTAGTAATTAACTTTATTATTATAAAGATCTTTTTATTAATCTTTAGCCGAATAACTTGGCAATAAAATTAAATAAGTCTTACATGTAGCCAATATCCATTTCAAATCTTTAGAAGTGTCAATACTTAAAATAGGATCTCCAAAACCAACAAATTTATTTTTAGCCATTTTTCCAATTTCCGAAAACAAACGAATACTTCCGTCTTCACTTCCTATTACAAAATTTCCTTTCTCATTGCTCTAAACACATGTAAATTTATTATTTTAATCATATATTTTGCTCTTTTAAACTACATCACTTGTAGCTTTTCCTTCTGCTTTTCTAGGATCCATTAAAAATATATTTTTACTATTTATACCATAGAAACATGTGTTTTCAGGATGTTTCTATTAAGGAGCAAAATCTTAAACTGTATTTTCATTACATTTCTTTTTTTGTTATATATATTTTATTTTAAATATTTCTTTTTATTTTTTACGAATTCTTATATTATTTTTCCAGATTCTATATCATAATAATATATTTTTTTTTATTCTAGTTCATTTAATAATAGAATTTTAGTATCTTCGTCTTATAAAAGAATTTTTCGTGGTTCAAATGATTAACCATCTAATCCTTTTATTATAGGAAGTTAACATAGATGCTATTTTTTTTGTTATTTAAAAAAAAAAAAAAAAATTATATCTAATAAAAATTATTTTAAACTTCTAAATTATCTTGGTTTTCATTATCTTCCTTAACTCTGAAAATTTCAATGTATTAGCCTTTAGAAACAAAAGTTCTGTCATAAATCTTTGCTTATTGAATATTTTTAACATTAGATTTATAGTTCGATTAAGAAAATTATGATACAAGTGAATTGTCAAATTCGATTATTTAATTTTGAACTTCTTCTTCGTCTTTTATATATTCTCGGTTGTCTTCTTTGTAATTATTATTAATTTCTTCTTCATCTTCTTCGGCGAATCTTCTTTAATATTCAATTTCGTCCTCATTAAAGGCCTTTAAAAATGGTATTTTATTATTTTTTTCATACAAGCATTAATGAATCATAAAATTTGCTTCATTAGCAATATATTTTTTATCGAATTTGACTAAATACATTTCAACTTTTTCTGTAAATTCTAACCATTTAATGGTATTTTGTTATTAATCAATATTTAGACAATGTCCATCACTTAAAGTACATTAATGAATAACTTATTTTGAAGAATTATATATTTAAAACTTAAAATTAAAATTTTCATATTATTTTATTGCAAATATTATTCCCTAAAATTAATTATTTATAAAATATTAGTTTAATTATTTTAAGTACATATGATTTTGGCAACATTTAATTTAAATGTTCTTATAATTAATATAAAGTACCAATTTATGCAAATCTTATACCCTTTTGTATAAAATATATATATAAAATATAATATATATATATATATATATATATATTATATATATTTATATATAATTTTAGATTTTTTTTACTTCTTAATTTAATATTTCTATATAAGCATTTTATAATTCTTAGTTATTTAAGTTATCTTTTATTATTTACTAATATTATTTATCTTCATTTTTTGATGTTTCTTCTTCTTTTTTTTATTCTTCTTATTTTGATGAGTTTTTTTTAGTTTAAGAAAGTTAAAGATTTTACATTTTTTTTTCAAGCTTTTTTTTTTTATAAATATATATATATATATATATATATATATATTTATTATATATATATATATTATTTTATTTTTTACTTTTATTACTACTTTAATTATACTACTATTGTTCTTTATTTTAGTTTCGGTTATTAATTTACTTTTTAACTTTTTTTTAAACGTTTTTTAAAACTTAAAGAAAAACTAAATCTAGTAAATAAGGTTTAATTTTTATTTAAATTTTCGGTCTTAACTTTACTTTTTTTTAAAAAATTTACTTTTTTAACTAGNGTNTATTTAGTAAAATTTAATTTTAATTTTATTTTTTAATTTTAAAAATATATATATATATATATATATATATATATATATATATATATATATATATTTTTTTTTTTTTTACACACATATAATCTCACTCGTGCGTTGTGTGTGGGATATATCTTTATTTTTTTTTACGTGTTAAACAGAGAAAACATCTGAAAGAGTGTTTTTATTGCTATCTTTTAAATCTTTTTTAACACGTGTATAGAAAATATAAATTTATTTTTTTTTAAATATATATATATATATATATATATATATATATATATATATATATATATATATATATATATATATATATATATATATATATATATATATATATATATATATTAAAAATTAATATAATTACTTGCAGTTAGATTTTATTTTTTCTTCATCATCGTCTTTTATTGGCCTTTATTAGATATTTAAGAAAATTAGTTCCGAAAAATATCTTTCGAATAATCGTACTTATTCTTCATCTATTATTGATGTATCAAATTCTAATCTTATTTGTAGGCTTTTTTTCGAAATTATATATTTTAAAAATTATTATTTTTACCTATTTTCTAAATCAAATACATATTTAATAATTTTAGTGTCACCATTTTCAAATGTTTATCTTTTTTTTTTTTTTTAATTTAAATATTATTTTATAAAAAAAAAAATCTTTTGAATTTGTTAATACTATCTTAAATCAAGTTTTGCAGTGATTGGGAAAAAAAGTTCTTATTCTTCTTCTTTACAATATAAATAAAAAGAATAATTGGTTTTATTATCATTCATAAAGGTTAAAACTGCTTTATTCATTCTATATTTATATTTAAAAAAAAATATAAAATATTTAATTATTAATTTTTTTTGTTTAATTACATCACTTATGAACTTTTATTTTCTCTTTTATATACTTCAGCTTAAACTTGAAAATTCTTCATGTATTAAGGCATATTATTTTTTTCTTCTCCTTTTCCAAATAAGCCTTTAATGAAATTCATTTTTTTTTTTTTTTTTTTAATTATATTATAATATTTTTATTATTTTTTTTGGATAAAAATTAAAATGTTTAATTTATATACTTATAATGTTTTTGTTTTTTTTTAATAAAAATCTATTTATAAATTATATTTTATAGAAAAAATTATAGTAAAAATAATATATAATAAAATTGATTCTATTATAAAATTTTAATATATATATATTATATATTATTTTTTATAATTTTTTTTTTTTAATTTATTTTGACTAATATTTTCTTTAAATATTTATTTATTGTTTTATTTATTTCTTTAAATTATTTATTTTTTAATGAATTTATTTTATTTCTCTTTTTATTGATAAATAGAAAATATGCAATTTAATGGTTAAATCTATTAGAGGTTTTTTGTTGATTTTTAAACCAGTAATTTTACTCGTTTGTTTGATATATAGCAAATTATAGATTGTATTTTTTTAGAAATATTAATTATTTAAAAATAATACAGCTGATGCTTGAATTATTTTGAGAAGATTAAATGATTTCTTAGATTATAGAAATATAATTTCAAAATATTTTTAGATTACTAATTTTAATAAAGTTAAGTATTTGCTTATTAGTATATAAAAATATAACAAGCCTATTTTTCAGATTTTAAGAAGGAATAAAATATATATATTTGAAAATATTGTATATTCGTTTGTAAATATTTTTTATTTCTCATTGAACAATTTAAATATTATAAATATAAAATTGAAGGTTTTATTATAATTTATTATTACTAGCTTATTTAGTTAGGATATTATTCTTTTATATTATTTATTTGTTTAATATCATCGATAAAAGTTCGACTTTTTTGTATTTTCCGTATTTTTAAAAAAAGATTTTGTTTATAGAATACTTACGGCATATTAATTTAAATTTATTTATTTTTATTAATATTTAAAAATGTATTTTATACGTATATCAGTAATCGTTTAATGGATTAATTTTACGTTTTGAAGAATATTTTATTAAATATTCATACAATTCTTTTCATAAAAAAAGGATTTCCAATAAAATTATCTTAAAATGTTTTTAAAGATAATAATTCGTTTATTTTTTTCTTTTAGTATATTATATTTTTTGTTAATATTAATTATATATGATTATTTAAAAAGTCATTTTTAAAAAGAACTTTTTTATAATTTTATAAAGAATTAATATATAATATTAATTAAAAAATATATAATAATTTTTTTCTTAATATATTTGTTTAAAATATAAATTATAATTTACAAAAAAATCTAAATATATTTAGGAATAATAATCAAAAACAATTTTAATTTTTTTTTTTATAACTTAAAAAAATATATATATATATACCATTTAAATAAAAACTATTAACATACATGGGTTGTGGAAATTCAAATCCAAAAAAAGTAGACCATAATTAAAATCAATTAAGTAGTTAAGAAAAAGAAGACGAATATTTTTCTAGATAAACAGCAGTATATGGTGTTGAAAACTAATGTAAAATTCGAAAATTAAATATTTTTTTATATGGAGTTTTTGGTGTAAATAAAATTTAAATAAAAAATATTTTGAAAAAAAAAAAAAAAAAAAAGGTTGGTATTGAAATAGCAAAGAATTTAATTTTATCAGGAGTTAATTAATTAGTTATATATGATAATAAAATATGCGATAAAAATGATTAAAATGTTAATTTTTGTATTAGAGATAATCATATTAAAAATAAAAATTCAAGAGCTGATGCCAGTTTGGAAACTCTTTAATAATTAAGTTTATATTGCTAAATTAAAGTTCATAAAGAAGAAATTAATAATGAATTTCTATCTTAGTTTAATGTCGTTGTATTTACAGATTTTTACGATAAATAGAAACTTATTGAATATAATAACTTTTGTAGAAAAAATAATATAGGATTTATTTTGAGTGCTAATTTAGGTTTATATGGTTTCCTTTTTGTTGATTTTGGGGATAAACATTTAGTTATTAAAAAATAAATCCTTCCTAATATATATTTATACTTTTCTTTTTTTTATTTAAAAAAAAAGGTTTAAGATATAGATGGAGAATAAATAAAATAGGCAAGTATTAGCTCTATTTCTTAAGATAAGTAGGCATAAGTAAATTAATTTTTTTTTGCTTTAAATAATTTTTTTTAATTTTTATTTTAAAAAATAGATTACTGTAGAAGATGATAAAAAATTAAAATTTTAAAATGGAGATACTGTTTAGTTTTAAGAAGTATAAGGAATGACAGAGTTGAATGGAAAATAATTTTAAATTGAAATAAAATCGGCTTATAAATTTACAATAAAATAAGATACAACGAAATTTACTCCTTATAAATCTAATGGTATATAATTAAAAATGTTTTTTTTATGATAATTTATTTAATTTATAAAAGGAATTGTATATTAAGTTAAAGTTCCTTAATAAATAACATTCAAGTCTTTATAAGAAATACTTGAAAATCCCCAAAAAGATGATTTTATGCTTTTTGATTCTACTTAAACTTCCTAAAGTTAAGATTTGCATATTATATTAAATGGATTATTTGAATATTATTAAGAAAATAAAAAATTACCGTAATTTTTAAATGAAGATAATGCAAAATAAGTGATTGGAATAATAAATAAGATATAAGGAAAATATAAAAATCTTAATGCAAATTAAATAAATGAATCTTTAATAAAAAATATTGTATTGTATTCATAAGCTAATATCATACCAATATGTTATATATGGGGAGCTTTAGTTTCTTAAGAAGTGATAAAATATATAGGTTTATATAAACCAATAAAATAAATTATTCATTGTGAAATGCTTGATATTTTATGTCCTTAATAAAATTTATAAGTTTTAAATGATAATTATTAACTTTCGGTTCTTGGGAAAGTTTTTTTTAATAAATTAGGAAATTAAAAGTAATTTTTTTAATATTTGTAATAATAATTTAATTTTTTTTTTTTTTATAAAAGCATATTTTTAGTAGGGGCTGGATCTTTAGGATGTGAATATTTGAAAAATATAAGCTTACTTTTGAATAATTGTAGTTTAGATGGATAAATATTTATTACAGATTTCGATAAAGTTAACTTTTCGAATTTAAATACTTAATTTTTATATACTAATCAATTTTTAGGGAAAAGTAAATCTGAAGTTATAGCTAATTAAATAAAATTAATAAATAAAGTAATTTTTTTGTTTTAACAAAAAAATAAAACAATAAATATTTATATAAAAAAGTAAATTAAAATTAAAAACTTTAATAAATCTTTTAATCTTAAAAATTAATAAATTTTCGATGATTTGTTTTGGGATAACCTTAATATAGTTATAACATCAGTTGATAATACATAAACTAGAGCATTAATAGATGCTTAATGCGTTTGGTTTGGAAAAGTAAAAAAAAATATATTTTTTATTTTTGTGTTAATAAACAAAAGCCATTATTCGATTCTGGAATTTAAGAAAGTAAATGCCATACTTAAGTAATAGTCCCAAAATAGACTTAATGTTATTAAGATTCTCATGATATTAGTGAAGAAAGTGCACCTTTATGTGTTTTGAGTAATTTTCCTCATATAATATAACATACAGTTTAATGGAGTTCAGACTAATTTTAAGTTTTTTTTGTTGAAGGGATTGAAGAAATAAGCAAATTTGTAAAAAATGGACAATAACATATCTAAAATTTAAAAAATGAATTTTAAGATAAAAGTGGCTTTTTGAAATAAAAATTACTAAATTTATAAACTTATGCTACTGTTTTATTATAACCTAATTATGAATAATGTATTAATATTGCGTTTAAATTGTTTTATTAAAACTTTTATGATTAAATTATTTAATTGTTATAAGGATTTCCTATTGATCATAAAGTATCCTTTTTTACTTTTTTATTTAATATACTTTTGTTTTTATATATATATAGAATGAAGATGGAAAACCTTTCTGGAGTGGACATAAGAGATTACCTTAAGTTTTTTTTTTTTTTTCTTTTCTTTTTTTTGTTTTGTTTTCTTTTTTTTATTTTATTTATTTTTAGGCCTTAGAACTTAATTATGAAGATTAATTACATCTAGATTTTATTTTATCAGTTTCTAATATAATTGCTTATTCATTTGATATAAAAGGATAATTACCAAAAGATAAAATAGCTAAGTATTTAGGTTAGAATAAAGAAACTTTATAAAAACTTTTTTAAGTAGAGAAAAAAAATATTGATGATGATTAAATTAATTTAAATCTAATAGCTGAGCTTTAAAGTAATATATGTTATTTTTTATATTAGGCTTATTTTTTATTTAAATATTATAAAAGAATTGAAAATAAAACATTCATAAAAGGTTTATCTGTTATAATTAGAAAATGATGAATAATAAGAATTATAATAAAATTTTATTTATACTACATCTAATTTAAGAGCAAGAAATTACAAAGTAAGAAAAATAATTTAATAATAATATTTAAAATAATATAAAAAGATAGAAGAGGCATCTAAATAAAAAATAAAAATGATTTCTAATAAAACAGTACCTTCAACAGCTATTATGGCTTCTTTAGGTGCTAGTTTAAATATTATTTAAATTATAAAATATTTAAAAAATTAAATTTAATAAAAGAATGTTTATCAATAGAAAAATTCTTTTATTAATTTAGCAATTCCATTATATTTGTTTGCTGATACATTAGCCCCTATTGCTTAAAAAGATAAAGAATATGATGAAATTGTTTTAGGCCCTGTTAAGGCTATACCTCCAGGTATTTTTTTTTTTTTTTTTATAATTTTTTTTTTTTTTTTAAGGATTTACTAATTGGGATAAAATTGAAATTAATGGACCTATGAAATTAAGTTAATTAATAGATAATTTTAAAGATTAATATAAAGTTAAATTATCAATTATTTCAGTTGGAAAGCTATGTATTTATAATGTATATGGAGGATAACAATAATAAGATTTGCTAAACTAAGATATTCTAGAATTGTACTAAAAACTTTAAAAATAAAAGGTTCCCGCAAGTAAAGCTTTTTTAGAAATTATTGTTAATGGAGAAACATTAGATGATAGTACAGACTGTAATATGCCTGTTATTAAATATAGAATTAAATGATAGACTGTAATATGGCCTTTTATTAAATAATGAATTAAATGAAAATTTTTATTTAAAAAATTAAATTTTTTATTAATATAAATAATTGTATTTATTATTTCTTCATATTTATTTTTAAAAAATGAATAAAGAGTATAAATTTAATTATTTTTAAAATAAAATAAAAAATATTTAACAAAAATAAAATGTTGAAAATTTTTATAAATTAATGCATTCATAATTACTCAAATTCTTAAATTAAATAAATAAACATAAATTAAAAATTATAATAATATTAAGTTATAAAAAAGCTTTAATAATTTGAGTTTAAACCATAGTATTTTATAGATTTAAACAAAATATTAAATAAACAAAAGTTAAATATTGATTTAAAAACATAAATAAAACAAAAAATATTATATAACATAAGAAATTGTTAAGACAAAGAAACTTACATATAATGCTTGTAATTTTTAAACTAACATTAAATAAGAGAAAATGAAATAAGAGATTGTATGATAAACTAATTAAAATAATTTAATTTAAATAATAATTTTGAATATATGGAGCTATTTTACGAATATTTTTAATAATAAAAAAATAATAAATAATATCACGTAAATTTAGAAAATTACTATATTCTTAATTTTAAAAATATGAATGAACATTAAATACGGTAAGTTATGAATAATTATTTCGAAAACACTATGGGAGCTACTTAATTTTATGACGCTATATAAAAAAGACTATTAGAGTTATTTAAGGAAAATAATTAGTCTATTAATAATTATACGCTTTTTAAAATTTATTTAAAAACATTTGTTTATGCAAATTTTTTTAATAAAGAATTCTTTTAATATATCATAGATATTATAAATTAAAATCTTATTAGTTTTCAAACTTTTGACTAAAATTTATTTTTATATTTAAATGAAATTATAGATTTCTATAATTTGTTTTATTAATAAACATCTGATAAACATGATATTTTATTTGAATATATTTAAAAATATGATAATGTTGATTTTATATAAAAATCTTTAGGAAGGTTTTTGTATTCTAGAAGTTTATATACTCCTTAAAAAAGTATTCCTGAAAACTTAAAAAATTTTCTTAATAATTTAACTAGAGTTTTAAGAGAAAGTAATTGGCAAATTGATGTTTAAAAAGTTTTACAAAATATATTTAAAGATGAGGACATAAAATGTAACTATTAAATTGATATTTATAATGTAGACTTCTTAATTAATGATAAAATTATTGTCGAAGCAAATGGAAGATAACATTATTACCATAATAGAAAATCAGGAATATCTGAAATTAAATCAAGATGTTTATTAAAAAGGATATATATTAATAGATATATATTAATATTAATGGAGTTAATAAAAAACTGTATAATAATAACATTCTTTTATTTTAAATTTATTTAAAGGTATTTAAATTAAATAATAAAATAAATGAAAACTTTTTAAAATTTATTTTTGTATGAATTAATAAAATTAGTTTATAAATAATTATTGTAAAAATTTATTATTATTTTCTTTTTTTTATATATAAAATATAATATATATATTTTTTTTTTAAAGCTTATATGTTATATTTTTATATTAACTCTTATATATAGTAAAAAAACACAAAATTAAAAATAAAAAAAATGAAACAAATTACCTATTCAATATAACTTCCATTAAATATTAATGTAAATAAATAAACATATAAAATTTTAGCTATTAAAATAATTATTTTATTTTTTTACATTAAAATTGTTTTATTTTTAAAAAGTAATTAGAAATAGGACAGAAGTATATTGATTATATTATTGATACTGATATTTTAAAATTACAAAAAGATGCAGTTATTTTTAGAAGTTTCGAAGATAAAGATTACATAATAAATTCTCCTTTACCAAGTTTTATAAATGAAATGATTTTTGGTAAATATATAAAATTAACTTCAAAAAAATAATATTCTCAATACAACTACATTTAAGTCTTTAATGTATTTTTATTATAAACTCAAATTAAATTTTATTAAAGATAAAAAAAAAAAAAAAATTAAAAGTTTTAAGCTTTCAACCTTTTTAATTGTTAAATCGACTCATAAGTTAATAAATAGGGTATTATTTAAAATTTCTAAAATAGTTAGAAACCTATTAACATTGATATAATTAATGAAACTATTGATTATTTTAATGGATATGATACTTAAATAGGTTTATCAATTTAAAAATAATTTAATATTGAAAATTTAAAGAATTGGAAAAATAGTTTTAATGGTATATTGTAAATAAATAAAATAATTAAATATAAAATTGGTTACGATTAAGCTAACTAATATGTAATTAATATTGTTAATAAATATTACATTTATAAAAAAAATAAAATCGTATAAAGCTTGAAGATTTAATGTTAGATTCGTTAAAAAGAAACTATAATTACTATTATAAATCAATGCTAATAACAATTAACAAATGGAAGAATTTAACAATATAATAAATAGAATAGAAACATAAAAAATACTTAAATATTTAAAATAATTTTATTAACTCTTATCAGATATTTAATTAAAAAATTGATTCCTTTATTAATCTTATAAATTTTACAAATTATTAATAGTATTTTTTATTATTACTTTATTTATTTTAATTGAAATAAAAAATTTAGTATTGTAGAAAAAAATAACCGAATATTTGATTAAGATTCTGTTATTTCTAAAGTAGAAATCTAATCAAATACAAAATATAATGACTAAATAAAAGATTAAACAAATAGCTAAAAGAAAACAAATATAGTTTTCAAAAAAGTATTATATATAATTTTTTTAAAAAAATATATATAAATCAAGTTTTTTATATTTAATAGAATATTATTAATAAAACGGCTGGTGTTTTATTAAAAAAAGGAGATGGTCCAATAAATTATGATTGGAACGAAAGATATGTAATTATTCATAATTAAAGTCTAATATATTTTAAGACTTAATTTGATAAATACCCTCGAGGAATCATAGATTTATAGAATTGTACAGTTTCAAATATAATAAAATTAGAAAATGTATAATAAGACATTCATTTTTTATAAAAGATATTTATTTTTTATTAAAAGGAAAGAGAATATGCATTTTTTATTGAAGTTAATAAGCCGAATAAAAGATATTATTTTAGTGCAAATACATATCAAGAAACTGAAAAATGGCTTTAAACTATTCATAATTAAGCTTAATTTAATGTATTTTTTTTATAAATATATAAATTATTTATATGTTTCACTAGAATAATGCTTTTAAAGAAAGTGTTTATTTAGATAATTCTACTGTTATAAAAAAAACAAATAAATAAATAAAATTTAATGTTAATATTCTTGAAAGTTAACCTCCTGAAATAGTAATTATTTTAAATAAAAATTTTTTATTTTTTTTTAAAAAAATAAAATAAAGTCAAAATATTAAGATTATTATATGTAAGAATTCCCTCCTGAACTTAAATAATATGAAAATATTATTTTTTAATTAGAAAGGCATTATAATAATAATAATTCAAATTAATAATGGATATTAAGCAAATTTAGAAATGGAGTTAGAATATATGAAAAAGCAACAACTAAAATTAAAAAATGTTTAAGTAAAAAAATATATATAGTTCTTTTTCTTATATATATGTTTTTTATTTTAATATAGTTTAATTTATTTTTTTAGTTTTTTGTTGGAATTTTATATTATTTTGTTTTATAAAATATGAAAATACCAACATAAAATTTTTATTAAATTTTTGCATAAGGATTTATTGGATTTATTATTATAGTTTTGTCACTTTTTGCTTTTAGGCATAAAACAAATTAAAGAAATAATCATTCTCATGAAATTTATGCTTCTACAATAATAAATAAGGCTGCTGAAATTATATTTGGACATTTAAAAAATAATAACTTTAAAAAATAAATCGATAAATAAATGATTTAATATGAAAAAAAAGAAAAGATTAATTTCTATACTAAAAATTCTGATTATATTTATTAATTTAATAAAAACGAAAAACAAATTAAATCTGATGTAAAACTATACAAGTTTGCATTAAATTCATTTAAAAAGTTTTTTTTATATTATTTTTAATAATTATTTTTAAATAATTTTTATGTTTAGGTATTTTGTTATTTTTGATGTTTAAAATAAACTATTTTAAATGAGTGAAATTTTTATTATTATGAATAATTTTTCCTAAAGTAGTTCTTAAATAATGTATTATTGCAGTTTTTAGACAAATTAAAATAAATAAAAAGTTGGAAAAATATTAAAGAAAAGAGTACTATAATTATAATATATAAGAGATATGATATTTTAAACTGAAAAAGATTAATAATAAACATAAGAGTAACAGTTTTTTTTTATATTAAATAAAAATTATTTTATATATAGATGGAAAGAAATTTCAGAAAGTATATAATTATGAAAAAATAAAATATGATAAATATATATATATATTATAAAATAATAAATAATATGATTTAAAAAAAAAATTGTTTATTTAAATTAAAATTATATATTTATAAAATAAATTAATGTTTGTTTTTGTTTTTATATACAAATTTTAATATTTTTAATATTTATCAATTTTTATGCATAAATTTATTAGTTTTTATTATTAATAATTTTTATTTTGTTAAATTAAATTATTTTAAAAAATAAAAGTATATATTAGATAAATATATAAATTTTAAATACAATATATTGGAATATATTATTAAATTATAAAATATAATAAATTTTATATTTATTTTATAATATATTTAGTCTTCTTATTTTAAAAAAATGATTAATTTACCTTTAATTAAATATTAAATAACTAATTAATATAAATATTAGAAAATTTAATATATATTTTTAATTTTAAATAATAAAAAATTATATAATAATATTTAAAACTTATATTATTATTTTATTTGTTAATTTTATGTATGAATTTATAATAATTTGTTAAATATATATATTAAAAATTATAATATTAAATAAATTATATATATTAA